ATGTGGTCGGTACATTCATGTACTTTTAAAAAACATGACAATAGTAAGTAATCCAAAGTATTCAGATTACATTACTCACTTTAAGTAATTTAATGGATTAAGTTACAAACTACATTTTGGGGTGTGTAATCTGTAATCTGTAGGGGAATACATTTTAAAAGTCACCTTCCCAACACTGTGTATGAATGACATCATGAGTTAAACATGTGTGAAATGAAACACAACTCCAGGTCTGTTTGTGATGAGGAAACAACATTATAACAGATCAGAAAATAACGAAATACGGCCCCTTTAACGAGTCGTCGCACATATTGTCCGGCGAGAGGCCACGCTCCAGGGCAGATCCGGTTTATTATAGTTATTTAGGGTCAAATGCTTTTTCCAGTCAGTCGAGGTTTTATTACTGACCCCAAGTGGCGGGGGGAAGTATGCAGGAGACCAAACGTGCAGTCCCAAGAGGAGCGCATGCAGCTTTCACTCAGTCTGTTATTAGCCTGTTACATAACGATAGGGTCTAGATGTCTACATGCCGCTACAACCGTTTTAGAAAGAAGCTGCCGTTAAAACCAGGGATCATTTTGTGTTCAATTAACTCAGCGACGGGCTTAAATTTCAATGTTTAAGTTATTAGTGATTCAAGGATATCTTTTTTTTTTCCACTTTCTGGTTTGGTTTTAGTTTGAATCCAGTTTTAGACTTTCTTTGGTCTTGTTCTATTCTAGTCCCGGTGAAGTTCTGGGCCAGTCCTGGCTGATTCCCAGTTTTGTCACAATTCCTCCTGAACTAAATTAGAAATAAACTCAGCTTAGAAGCAACTTAACATAAAAACTGTGCAATAGATTGAATTTGCATTGGACTAGAAACTATATGGTAATGTAAGTAAGAGACAAAGGTTGTGTTTTGCAGGGCTTAATGCTCAATTCTGATTTTTTTTTTTTTTGTGAAATCCAATTTTTTTCCAAGGTCGTTCACGTTTCCAATTAAATGCGACTTGTTTGGAATCTCCAGGGTAAACTTTAAACGCATCAAGTGTCTCACGTGCACGTTGGAGGATCAATAAGAAGCTGCCGATACGATACATACCTCGATACTGTGCACTTTTGATTTGATACGATATATTTCAAAGCGATTCGCTACAGTTCGATAAAAAGTAAAAGCTAAATCATGGCTGTGATACTAAAAGTCTTTGTGAAACCACTTCTTGAGCAAAGTTATTATGAAAAACGTCCATTTTAATCATCAAAACAGTGAAAATGTCAACGAGTTTCCTTTCTCTAAAGAAACAATAAAACTGCGGCGCTGTAACAAAATAATTTGGTAAAATACGCCAAAAAATACTTGCAGATATATCGATACAGCAGCCCACGATATCAATACTGTATCATCACATTAAACGATACGATATATAGATATTTTGACATTTTTGCACAACCCTAGTGAACGAGCTCAGTGTTTATGGAAGATGCCTAAACGCTGGGCTTATCTCCAAAAATACGGTCCAGTTCTTGGTAAAACGGACAGGTTACACGTCCACGGTCGCTTCGTTTGTTTGAGTCTTTAGCCTCCGTGTATTTGGCTCGCAGGCTCTTTATTTTTCGTTGACAGTGGAGCCAGGACCGTCTGTAGCCGCGCTCGGACATTTCTTTGGCAATCATTTCAAAAACCGATAAGATTCCTCCAATTTGGCCTGAACACATCCATCCTGATCCCCCCCAAATATGAATAAACTCTCTAACCTCGCTTTCCCTCCACTGACGAGACTCCGAGCCTGACGTGTAGGTGGGATGAATGCGACCTGACCGTTCAGACTGAAGTCGCACGCCAAAAGATCGGATATGTGTCGGTTTTAGGAGCACATATCCAAGTGTCCTGGGTTACGCTTGAAAAAAATCGGATCTGTGTCGTTCAAACTGTCATTAAGAGATCAGATACAGGTCACATAGGGGCGAAAAAATCAGACTCGGGTCACTTCAGGCTGCAGTTTTGTCCTAGTTTAAGTTTTATCGCGAGAGTAAGTTCAACTAAAAAAACCTTTGAAGACTCTCAGGACTCTCCCCGGTTCTTAACCCGGGCTCAAATGTGCACACGCAGTTCCCAGCGGCGTCACCGGGTCGTCGTCATTGAGATGCGTTTAATGCCGTACCGTGGAACATTCCTGGCAGAGCGACACTATCTCCACGGAGACAGGCAGGTAGCGTGAGGTTATCCGGAGCACTTTTAATCCGGCTCTTAAACCACATCGAAACAAATGCTGTTCCGTCCCCGGTGTTAAGCCGGGACGATCCCCTCTCCACTGACATAATGGAGCCTCTGTGATAACATTATGAAGTGACAGAACAGCACCGCGAAGTGACGGAAAGAGAGAAGGAGAGAAAGAGGGAGGGAGAGAGAGAGAGAGAGGAAGAGAGGGGGAGAAGAGAAAGCGAGACACAGAGAGAAGAAAAAGAGAGATGGGAGAGAGAGGAGAAGAGAAAGAAAAACACAGAGACAAGAGAAAAATGGGGGGGAGAAGAGAAAGAGACACACAGAAGAGAAAGAGAGAGATGGGAGAGAGAAAGAAAGAAAGAAAGAAAGAAAGAAAGGGAGGGAGGAGAAGAGAAGGAGACATAGCGAGAAGAGAAAGAGATGGGACAGCGGGGAGAAGAGAAAGAGAAAAGAGAAAGAGACATGAGGGAGAAGAGAAAGGGAGACACAGAAGAGAAAGCGAGAGATGGGAGAGAGAACGAGAGAAAGAGAAAGGGGGAGGGGGAAGAAGAAAAAGATGGGAGAGAAGAGAAAGAGAGACACAGAGAGAAGAGAGAGAGAGAGAGAGAAGAGAAAGAGAGAAGAGAGAGAAGAGAGAGAGAGAGAGAGAGAGAGAGAGATGTAAGAGAAGAGAAAGAGAGACAGTGAGAGAAGAGAAAGAGATGGGAGAGAGAACGAGAGAGGAAAGGGGGAGAAGAGAAAGAGATGGGAGAGAGACAGAGAGAGAAGGGGGGGAAGAAACAGAGAGAAGAGAAAGAGAGATGGGAGAGAGAGAGAGAGAGAGAGAGAAAGGGAGGGGGGAGAAGAGAGAGACACAGCAAGAAGAGAAAGACGTGGGAGAGAGAAAGGGAGATGTAAGAGAAGAAAAAAGAGAAGAAGAGGAAAAGAGAGAAGAGGAGAGAGAGAAAGAGAAGAAGAGAGAATGGAGAAAGAGAGAGAAGAGAAAGAGAGAGATGGGAGAGAGAAAGGGAGATGGGAGAGAAGAGAAAGAGACACAGAGAGAAGAGAAGAGAGATGGGAGAGAGAGGAGAAGAGAAAGAAAAACACAGAGACAAGAGAAAAATGGGGGGGAGAAGAGAAAGAGACACACAGAAGAGAAAGAGAGAGATGGGAGAGAGAGAGAAAGAAAGAAGGGAGGGAGGAGAGAGAAGGAGACATAGTGAGAAGAGAAAGAAGGAGGGGGGGGAAGAGAAAAGAGAAAAAGAGAAAGAGAGATGAGGGAGAAGAGAAAGAGAGGACAGAAGAGAGAAAGAGAGAGATGAGGAGAGAGAACAGAGGAGAGAGAGATGAGGAGAGAGAAAGGAGAAGAGAGGAGAGAAGAGAAGAGAAGAGAGATGGAGAAGAGAGAAGAGAAGAGAGAGAGAAGAGACAGAGAGGAGAGAAGAGAGGAGGAGAGGAAAAGAGAAAGAGAAAGAGAAGAAGAGAAACAGAGAAGACAGAGAGTGGGAGAAGAGAGAGAGAAGAGAAGAGAAGAGAGAGAGAGAGAGAGAGAGGGAGAAAGAGAAAGAGAGAAGAGAGAAGAGAGAGAGACAGAGAGAAGAGAGAGAAGAGAAGAAGAGGAGAGAGATGAGAAGAAAAGAGAGAGAGACAGAAAAGAAAGAGAGAGAGAGAGAAGAAGGAGAGAGAGAGAGAGAGAGAGAGAGGGAGAAGAGAGAGAAGAGAGAAGAGAAGAAGAGAAAGGGAGAGAAGAGAGAAGAGAGAGAGAGAGAGAAAGGGGAGAGAGAAGAGAGGAAGAAAGAGAAGAGAGAGAGAAGGAGAGAGAGAGAAGAGAGAGAGAGAGAGAGAGAAGAGAGAGAAGAAGAGAGAACAGAGAAGACAGAGAGATGGGAGAAGAGAAAAAGAGAGAAGGAGAGAAAAGAGAAAAGAGAGAGACAGAGAGAGAAGGGGGGAAGAAACAGAGAGAAGAGAGAGAGATGGGAGAGAGAAGAGAGAATGAGAGAGAAAAGAGAGAGGAGACGGAGAGGGAGAGAAGAGAGAGAGAAGAGAGAGTGAAGAGAGAGAAAGGAGAGAGAGAAAAGAGAAAGAGAGGGAGAGAAGAGAAAGAGAGAAGAGAAAGGAGAGAGAGAAGAGAGGAGAGAAAGAGAGAGAGAAAGAGAGAAAGAGAAGAGAGAGAGAGAAAAGAGAAAGGGAGGGAGAGAAAGGAAAGTGGAGAGGGAAGAAGAGAAGAGAGAGATGGGAGAGAGAGGAGAAGAGAAAGAGAAAAGAGAAAGAGAGATGAGGGAGAAGAGAAAGAGAGACACAGAAGAGAAAGAGAGATGGGAGAAAGAAAGGGAGATGGGAGAGAAGAGAAAGAGACACAGAGAGAGGAGAAGAGAGAGATGGGAGAGAAAGAGAAAGGGAGAGAAGAGAAAGAAACACAGAGAGAAGAGAAAAGAGAAAGAGATGGAAGCGGGACAAAGAGCGAGAGATAAAAACAGAGAGAGCAAAGTGAGAAAAAAAGAGAAAAAAGCGAGAGAAGAGGAGGCAGAAAGAAAAAACAAATGAGATCGGTGGGAGAGAGAAAGTTAGAGAAAGAAAGAAGAGAGAAACAAAAGACAAAAGACAAAAGAAGACGCAAAAAGGAGAAAGAAAAAGAGCTCAAAGAGAAAAAAAAAATAGAGAGAGAGAGAGAGAGAGGGAGGAAGGTCTGAGGGGGAATGTGTCACTGTCAGAGGGTCTATATTGGCAAAGTGAATCCGTCCCTCAAGCATTTCAGAGCTTCAAGTTACAAACCTTATAAGGACCAAGCCCTATGTGTCTATGCACCCACTGCTATTCTTAGGCCCTGTCTGCAGCTAACCTTCAGCAACCCTGCAAGCAGCGCTCTCCAACCAAACCCACAAATTACGTAAATATATATATATTTTTTTGCAACTCAATTTCAGCTTTTGGTGCAATTTCTAATCAGTTTTTTGTGGTTTATCTTAAATTTATTGGCCGTTGTTGCCGTTTGTATCTCGCGTGTTTTTCCAGTGGCGTAGTCGGGTCCACCCCCACCCACACTGAAGGCACCCAACCAGCACCTCCAACCTCCACCCTTCACTCCAGGCTGGTTTGACCTGAGTAGACCGGGCGAAGAGAGGGTGCCGCGGCGGAAAGGTGGTAAATAAGGGGGTTAGATTCCAGCGTCCCGAGCAGCAGGGTGTTCCCGATCCCGGAAACAGGAGGAAGAAAAGAGAAAAAAAAAAAAGAACGCGTGGACTTCGTAGTTTGAACCCAAAATGAGCTCTACGTATACGGTCAGTTTGAACGGCCCCGCTCCTTGGGGCTTCAGGCTACAGGGAGGCAAGGATTTCAACATGCCACTGACCATTTCCAGGGTAAGAAACGAAAACAAAAATGTATTAAAATGCGCGAAATTTAAGAAACGTGCATGAATTTGTGATTGTCAAAAGATCTGTCTTAAAGCTGGACTGTTTAACTTTTCGATCGGAGCTTCCGTCCAAACGTTTTTCTGCGCGGATTTGTCACTGATGTGCCTGGAATGTCCCACAGCATGACTTTAAACAGCTCTACTTTACATTTATTCAATTACAAGTGGTTTTAGAGCTCAAAAATACCTCAAAAAAACACAGATTCTGGCTTTGAGTGGGTCGCCTCTCCACAGATCTGACCTGTAACTTGGTCTGTTTTGGTCTAGAAACGTTTAAAACCATACTGTGAAGTATTCCAGACAAAAAAAAAACAACATCTCCACGTAGAAAAGCACTTGACGGAGCCAGAAAAGCTGCAGATATTTATAGTAAACAAACGATTAAAACTATAATCGGCAGCAAAAACGACACGATACGAAGCAAATTTTTGCATGGCATTTTTTATAAACTTTAAAACACATTTTAGTTTTAAACACAGCTACTACAAATAAGTTAAAATACCTAATTTCGTGCTGCAGTCTGTAAAAAGTTTAAAGTTTAAAAGCAAAGTTTCTCAGGTCATTGCCAAAACGATGCATTTTAAGTTTGCATGTCACGTTTTATCCAATTAAAGTGAGTATAATTTTGTATATTGTTTTGATAATTTTGATGTGAATGGAACAAACTTTTAGAAAACTTTCGCAACGTGTAAATAAAAGTTACAAATTTGGGCATGCATCGAAAACTAATTTGGAGTTTTCGTAGCCCACAGCACAACCTTAAACCTTAAACCTACTACTGTTTCTTTTCAACCGCCAACACATTTGCCGATTACGTAACGCGAATATAAGTACTACGGGATATCCATACATGTCCAGAATGACATTGGTCCCGTAGTTACGCGTTTGTGAATACGGACCGGAGAAGGCAGGTGCCACTTAAAAGCTTACAGGAGCCAGCAGCGGCGGTTATGTAATTTTAAGTGATGATGACACGGAGCTCACATGTAATTTCCAGAATAGACCTGCACTGCTGGACTCAAATAGTTCGGACACGAGGCGAAGAAGAAGAAGTTAAAGCGTTCGACTTCGGCTACACTTTAATTTATCTGTATATAAATAAGCGAGATGCAATCCATGAGTCCAAAAAAGAAGCACTGTTGGCGTAGAGAAGAACAAATCGAAATAAAATGTAGTATTTTTGAATGGTTTACGGTCAAATTGCACCACTACAAACAAAAAAAAGTTATTACAAGTCACAATGTTATGTTGCATGTTAAATTTCTTGTCTTTTTTTAGAATTTTTAAAGGTTTTTTGACAGTAAATTGTAACCGATTTGACAAAAGTGTGTGTGAAAGCTGTGCAAATTTACCAAGCTTGGAACAAAGACTAAACTCGCTAGTGACCCCTGGTGGCGATTTAAACTTGTAAAAAAAATCAATAAATTGTACAAACATTTCACTTCTAACAAAATACCTAAGTCCTCTGTGGTTTTAAATAACAAACCATGAGATTTATGGGTTTCAAAATGTCAGAAAATGAGATTATTGGACGATTTAAATAAAGAAAAGTCCTCAAAAAAAACGTCACGTATAAACAGGAAGCTGATCTGTTTACATACATTTTTTTCCCGCGATTTCCACCTTCTTTAACAAGCCGCGGCATAACTATTTTCGTGTTTCAATCGCCGTTTTCAACTTCGCAAATCTCAGGCGCCTTAACGTCGTCAGCGCCAGTTTAAAGTTTCAGAGTTTGTCGTATTTTTGTCTCTCTGCATTCGCGTTTAATGTGGAAAATATCTGTCACGTTTTCTAGAGTTGAAGTTTGCAGCGAGGGCTCGGTTTGGTCTGGCACAGCAGTCAGAGTATTTACAGCAGTCCCTTTAAATAGCTTCAGAGGCGATGGGGAACACTGTGTGGGGTAGATCTTGTGTTACCCCCTGTATTAAAGCTGCACTAAGTAACTTTTCTGCTTATCTGATCATATATGTGTTAATCCAGACACTAAAAACACCTTTCTTGCACCTGCTTGTTAATAAAAACTCCTTAAGTGTCGACAAAAACCTTGAAAAAACATTCCTATGGGCTCACGTTCCCGCAGATCTGACCTGTGACATGGCCTGGTCGCGTCGTCCGCTTGTATCCATGGCGACGTTTAATGCCACACTGTGAAACAATCAAGGCGAAGTAATAACTAGCAGCTGCGCGACTAAAACTTCGCCAAAAAGATGAAATTATGACACATGTTAAAGTTAAAAGCTGCATTGTGTAACATTTTGATTGATGGTCCCTCACCTGCTTGTTTCTATGGATACGTTACTGTCTGGAATGTTCCACAGTGTGACATTAAAGAGCTCTACCTTACATTTATTCAATTACAAGAGGTTTTAAAGCTTAAAAACACACCTAGAAAAACTTGAGATTTCTTTCTATTTTCCATGAAGGTAGAAAGGTTTGACGGACCTTTGACGGACCCCCAACCGGAAAAGTTACGCAATGCACCTTTAAATTCCCTCACACTGTTGACATTTTTATTTGTAGATAGATAAATTTGCATTATAGTTTGATCCTTGGCTTTAAAAATCCCAAGGTCAAGCCGGATCGCTCCATGATCTTGCATTGTCCGTTTTGTGCGTATGGTTAAGTCCTATAAGCTCCGCGACATAAAACATAGGGGTTTGACACGACCAGCGGGGCTGCAGTTACACTTTGACGTAACGGACGTGGTTTGGATTTCAATCTACTTTTGCCAAGAACTAAGAAAAGACAGAGGAATGAAGACGGGAAATTCCATACATTTTGCGAGTCAGGAGATCTTTCACTAGATTCTGAACTCGCGAAAAGGTGAACTTGCGCAATTTTTCCAACTTGTCTCGAAGGAAATCCAAATCCACGTTAGTTCTACAGCACATTTTATAAACAAAGCAGCTTCCAAAGATCACAAAATGAAGACGAGAAAAGGTAAAAACTGCTAAAATTTGGTCGTACCAGTCCTAAAACAATAAAAACCAGTCCAAAAAAAGCAGAAAATAAGTCAAATAAATCAAATAATGTTACTGCTTTGCCTGGAATGTCCCACGGTATGACTTTAAACATACACATCTAGCAATACAAGTGTTTCTATTGCTCAAAAATACATTAATTCCTTCTGTGAATAGGCCGACTCTCCACAGATCTGACCTGTAACGCAACATAGTGCTGTAACCTGCTCGTCTTCTTCGTGATTGATAAGTTTAAGCTGTAAAATTTTCACAGAGACAAGCAAATAACGAACGGTCCACTAGAAATATTATGCAGCGCAACTTTAAATTAAAAATATCGCGTAGTTATTGAGTGATTTTATATACGGTGGGGAGTTTATCTCGTCTGATTGACAGCGAGAAATCCCAATTAGTGATATGTTTACGGGCAAGTCCAGGGGTTGCATTACCGTCAACAACTTGGTATTTTAATAGGGCCCCTGTTTAAGTCCTATATAAACAGATATTTTGAGACTTAAACGAATGCCTTAACAACAATAAAACCAACTTTGAAGTCCGCAGTTATTGTTTTAACCTTATTTTAACTGCTTTATCGTGGTATTTTGTCAGTGTGCCAGAAAGTGTGCTCAAATAATATTCCATCTTCCATGCAAACTAAAATGGAGATAGTGGTATAGAACTGATTTTCGGTTTCCGTTTTCGATTTTCGGTGTTCGGTTGGAGGTCCGTCAGCTTCTTGTTACTATGGATACGCCATCGCTGGTCTTGGAATGTCCCACGGTATGGCATTAAACACATCGAACTTACATTTATTCAGTTACAGGTGGTTTTATAGCTCAAAAATTCCCCCCAAAAACCCAAAACAAAACAGGCATTCTGAATGTGAGCGAGATCTGGCCTGGTTTGGTCTCCATGACGACAGTAGCTTTAATGCCACACTGTGAAACATTCCAGACAAAGCAATCACAGCTCCACGGACCAAAGAAAAGCAAACAATGCGCCTTTAAACTTAGTCTGCTGTAGTTATTTCTTTTTAAAGCCACAAATATTCTCTCTAAATTCTCAAAAAAACATGGATGATACTGAGCTGTACTTGTTGCATTTAAACATACTGCAATTTTTTGAGGATTAAATTGTGGTTAGAGCCAAAATCGGACTCCCGACTCCGTGATTACTCGATGACAGGGCCGGGGAGGGGAAGCTAGAACTGTTTTCAAGTGACGATTATGTCCGCAGACAAGAGAACAACTGAGGGGAAAATTGGTCTCATTTTTGAAGAGTAGCTCGCTCGCTCAGATACAATTGCTAATTTCTCCTGCATTTAGCAAAACCTTCGATCTCGGACGCACAATTTCAGCAACAGCAGCCGCTTCGCTTCAGGGTTACGCTGGCAAATTAAACAGCAAGTTCATTTTTGAAGATGCAGTGATTATGGTTTAGGAACAAATATTTCGGTTAAAAGTAGCAGGAAATGTCAAAGCGCTTATCCAACTGTAATTATCAGGGACTATATAAAAAACACAGCATTTTCTCATATGTACAAATACCTTTTTAAACTTTAATCCAAGTTATAATGGTTTTCCCTTCATCATTTGCTCACACAAAGTTGCATTTCGATTGATCCGTACATGTTGGAATGATCCTGTATTGTAATTTATTCAAGAATTGAGTGCTTAGAAAATTTCTGTTTTCACCTACCCCCTATCCCCGCCCACTCCTCTGTAATTACTTGTGATTAAAAATTAAAAATTCAGACTCAAAATCACAATTCTAGGATTCAAAAATGTCACATAGTCATTTTTTTTTTATAATACAACAAAGTAAATGAAAATCTGCTGCTCACTACACTGAAATTGTGAAGTCAATTTAAACATTTTTAAGTCAATTTAGATCAATATTAAGATTTACAATTAACAAAATGTAAAATAATGATCCATACATGTTAAATTTTACAACTAAATACCCAATAAAATATATAACATTGCCCTTTAAAGGCTTGTAATATTATGGGAGCTACACCACAAACTAAAATCTAGTAAAGTTTTTCTAGCTAAAATTACTTCAGTTAAAAAAAAAAAATCTTATTTGAGTAAATTTCACACAATGGAACATGATATTTTGTATTTAAAATAGGAAAATACATCTTTTTACACTTAAGAAAAACAACTTTTTGCACTTTGCTTGAATTAAAAAATAAATCTTACTCAGAATTTTTACTTATCTTATTTTTACTGACTTGGTATTTGAAGTTTTAGTATTATACCAGTACTACGCCAAAATATATAAACAAACTAGATGAATCTAAATGAAAAAGCACCTTAAGTAATCTTTGTAAAAAATTATAGCTACATCTGAATAAACACATGGTAATATTAAAAAAATTACTACTGTTTCAATTTTTAAAAAAGTACACCCTATTAACTAAACAAAAAAATTCATACCAAAAAAATTTAAAATTAAAATAAAAAATAAATCTTACTCAGAATTTTTACTTACATCTTATTTTACTTACATAGTATATGAAATTTTTGTTTTATAACAGCGATATGCCAAAATACATAAACAAAATAGATTAATCTAAATGAAAAAAACACCTTAAGCAGTCTTTGTTTAGAATTATAGCCACATTTGAATACAAAACACACTGTAATACTAAACAAAATACTACTGTGTTGATAAAAAAAGTACATCCTATTAACTAAAAAAATAAATAAAAAATTGAAATTGTGAATAGCATCTGAATTTGTATAAAAAAAAAAAAAAAACATGTTGCTTGAATTAAAAAAATAAATCTTACTCAGAATTTTTACTTATCAAGTCGAATCTATGTAAATAAAGTAAGTAATTGTAACTTGGATATTGGATTTTTTTTTTTTTTTTTTTTTTTTTTTTTACTTTTAGCAGTGTACCTGGTCTTGATTTGAACATACAGTGGAATGAGTGATTGTCAGGAGCAGATGTGGGTCTCCTTCACATGTACAAGTGTGTGACCGTGTGAGTGTGTGTGTGTAGGGGTGTGTGTGTGTGTGTGTTTGGGGGAAGGGCCGCGGGAGGGGGGCACGCGGGGGTCAATCTGAGCGAAGCCCCAGGCATCAACAGAGCGGTGTATTTATATCTGTTTTAACGAGTCCGCTGTAAGGTTAGACCGGCTCTCAGCGCACACCTTAAAGTGCCAATCGCAGGTTAGAATACTAATAATTAGCCAAAAACATAATAATTATAATCATGTTAACCAAGATTCGACTCAAAAATGTCACCTTGCTTTTACGATTTTTATTAAATTGGTGATGTTGACCGTGTTACCTAGCAATCATAACATTAACAATGCCCAAAACTATCTAAATTACGCAATAGTTACGATTAGATAGATTTTTTTTTTTTAAACATAACTGACAACACCTTTATTTTGTTAAATCTCACCTTATTCTTACTATTTTTATTAATTCTGGTGAAGTTGACCCTGTAACCTAGCAACCATAACATTAACAAGGCCGAAATCTATCTAAATTACACAATAGTTCTGATTGGACTAATACAAATAAATGATAATGCCTTTATTTTGTTAAATCTCGCCTTGTTTTTCTTTTCTTTTCTTTTTTTTTTAGTTAAGTTACTTAATTTAACTTATAATTACATAACTATATAATATTACTTCCTGGCAGCAGATATGAAGATTTCCAGTTGACCTTGTTATCTAGCAACCATAACATTAACAAGACCCAAAACTATCTATCTATATCTAAATTACACAATAGATATGATTAGATTGATAAAAAATAACTGACAACACCTTTATTTTGTTAAAAAAGTAAAAAAATAAGGCGGATTTATTTTTTATTTTGGTGAAGATTATAATTATCGATAATTATAGAGGATTATAAAAGATATGTCAATGTCTTAACTGTTACCTAGCAACGACTAACAATGGTCAAATCTATCTAAAACTAAATTACACAATAGTTACAGTTAGACTAATAAAAATAACTGACGACACCTTTATTTTGTTAAATCTCACCTTGTTTTTACTATTTTAAAATTTTATTTTGATTAAGTTTATAATTTCACTTCCTGTTGGACACTGGCAGCAGATATGAAGCTTTCCAGTTGACCTTGTTACCTAGCAACCATAACATTAACAAGGCTCAAAACTATTTTTATTTATTTTTTTATAAATATTTTTATTAAGGAATCACAATATACTCATACAAGATTTACAAATCACAATTATTTTTCCTTTTATATTTTTCTTATTTTCAAAAGGAAAACACCATCTTTCTAATAAATACCAAATCCAAATATTATCAAAAATGAAGCAAAGGCAAACAATCAAAAGATAATAATAATGGCTCAAAACTATTTAAATTATACAATAGTTCTGATTAGACTGATAAAAATAACTGACAACACCTTTATTTTGTTAAATCTCAACTTGTTTTAACCAGTTAAAACTGTTACCTAGCGACCATGATGTTAACAAGGGCCAAAACATGAATAAATTATGCAATAGTTATATTTAGACTAATAAAAATAAATGATAACACCTTTATTTTGTTCAATCTCACCTTGTTTTAACCAGTTTTTAAAATTTTATTTTGATAAAGTGTATAATTTTACTTCCTGGATGGACACTGGAGCTAATGCTATAACTGTTACCTAGCAACCATAATGTTAGCAGTGGTCAAAACTTGAATAAATTACACAATAGTTATAATTAAACTAATAAAAGAACTGACATCACCTTTATTGTGTTAAATATGGCCTTGTTTTTACTATTTATAATGTTTTATTTTGATGAAGTTTATAATTTTACTTCCTGAGCTAATTCTATAAGTGTTACCTAGCAACCATGATATTAACATGGGCCATAACTTGAATAAATTACACATTAGTTATATTTAGACTAATAAAAATAACTGACAGCACCTTCATTTTGTTAAATAAAGGTTTAAACTGTCTTTGCGGGTAAATTATCAATGAATTTTTGACACATATCTGGTAGAGGTATTCAGTTTTAAAACTTACTTCTACTTTCCTCTTTATTTTTGCACTTTTCTTCTCAACTTTTTTCCCACAAACTCACTTAAATGACCTAAACTATGAGCTAAATATTGAGCACAAGTACTGTCCCACCAAACAAAGTAATAATAATAATAAAAAATCATGAAAATCTGTCAAATTAGCTCAAACACAACCCAAAACTATTCCACCATCTTCATTCATAAACGTATCGCTGTATCCAGAGACTTCTCCATCTATTATAACATATGAGCTGCCATGAGACTGGTGGCAATCCTCTTAATAAAAATGCTTCTTTACTTCAGCTACTTTAACAGATCGATCTTATTTCTTAGGTTTGCAACATCAGCTCTTTTTTGTACATAAGGAAATGACAGAGTTTACGATATTGGTTGAGCAAGCAAGTGCTCCATCACCGGGAATAACACAAGTATGAATGATGGATTTGGGTTTAATAATAGCGGGATCTGGAGAACTTTACACAACCACAAACTGACTGAACATTTTCTATTTATGTATTAGTGACAGCCAAATCAACGTATTTCACTCAAACTAAAGCAAAAAACTGATACTGAGATTCTAATCAACGCTAAAATGAAATCGAAACTAGATCCTCAATTAAACAAGTACTGACAAAAATACAAAATTAAGCCAAAATTTTACCTTTTCTGAATGTTTAAATAACAATATATTATTCTTTTCACCTTTAAGAGCGAAAAAAGACAGCAATACGCCAAAATATGTAAACAAAATAGATTAAAAAAAAGCTGCCTTAAACAAACTTTGACAACTATTGATGAATATGAAAATGGACCCCGTAATAATATTAATATTAATTTGATAAAAATGACATCCTACTCGTCTAAAAAAAATAATATTGAATTGCCTTAGCACACGTTTGAAATTTTAGCATTGTGGCAACACCAAGTAAAAAAAATAAAATAAATAATAATAATAAATTAATTAAATTAATTAAAATAAATAAATACATTAAAATAAAATGAAATAAAATTAAATAAATAGATTAACCTAAACTAAAATCTGCATTAACAATCTTTGACAACTATTGATACATTTTGAAAATGGACCACATAAAAATATTAAAGAAACGACTATTAATTTGATAAAAATGACATCCTACTCTCTAAAAGAAATAATATTGAATTGCCTTAGCACAAGTTTGAAATTTTAGAATCGTGACAACACTAGGTTAATCTATTTTATTATTATTTTTAATATACTTTGACTTAAACTAAAATCTGCTTTAACAATCTTTGACAACGATTGATAAATTATATGGATGACATGGTATTATTAAAGAAACTACTAACATTTTGATAAAATTACATCCTACGGTCTAAAAAGTGTTAATTAAAAAGTGAAAATTAAAATTAAAATTGCCTCAGTATTTGCTTCAGGTTCAAAATCAATTAAATTTTACATTGTGACAACACTATGCCAATACATGTAAACAAAACAGGACATGATCTGAAAAAGCTGCTTTAAAAAACAATGAAAACCTCTGATAAATTTGAAAATACTTTGACATTCGTGGGGTAAAAATCCGCATTAAAATTCCATCACAACCATTGATAAATTCGCAAACAGCTGAATGTGTGTGGGGTAAAACCGTAGACGCTGACCTACTTTCCTTTGCGGTAAAGAAGTGGTTGTTTTTGAGTGTCTAGTGTTTGAAACTCTGCCTCTCCGTGAATGTGTGTCAGTGGCCTGGGGCTGACCTGTGCTTCTGACCTGTCCATAGATAACTCCCGGGAGCAAAGCAGCAGGAGGCAGTCTAACTCAGGGAGACATCATCACTGCCATCGACGGCGTCAGCACCGAGGGAATGACCCACCTGGAAGCACAGAACAAGATTAAAGCTGCTACGAGTAAACTCACACTCACAATGGTCAAGTAAGTACGAATGCGGATGTGTGAAAGTACAACGAAACGCTTTAGTTATCGTCGTAAACATCAGTGTTCATACTTTTTGTCATTGTATTTTAGCTGAAATCAAGAACATATTCTAACACAAATCCTATCCTTCAATACCAGAGACCAAAGCCACACCATAAACAAACTCAAAGTCCACTTACCGAACATGAAGCAATGACGTTTAATTCATCATAAACAATAACCGTGTTTTTTGGACTATAAGGCGCACTGTTGATTTTTGAGAAAATTTAAGGATTTTAAGTGCGCCTTATAGTCCGAAAAATACGGTATTTTTGATTTTGTCGACTAAATCAGTATGACATTTTCATCATTCAACAATGTCTTCCCTTATTGTCAAAAACAATTATTTTATAGGATGATTCTGGGTCAATAACTTCTGAAAACGCAACAAAACAACATGTGCATAGTCAGTGTTTCACACAAGAGCACAGTGCCTTTCCCTTAAGTGTAATTTTCTAAAAAAAACATCATCTTTATGCAATCAAAAGTGAAGCTACTAAGTGAATAAACATTTTACATTCTTTGATGGGAGCATTTCTATGCAACAAGTACAAGTGTTTGGCTCCATCTTGTGGTTCTACATATGAATTACACTTCACAATTCAGTTTAATTTTCTATACATTTCTATTAAAAGGTATGTATCAGTGTATCTCCACGTTTGACTACCCCAAATTTAAGACTTTTTAAAGACCTTTTTAAGACAACTTAAATGAAAATTAAGACCAACATCACACCCATTATGCGGGCGAAAAACACCAGACTCACTTCTCACTTTAAATAACAAAAAAATATGATTATTAATAAAATCAGAACTCAATTATAGTAGTATGAATTGCTTGTAAAATAGCCCAAAAAATCATTTATAACATTCTACCAAGACAAACTAACCTTTCACAATGTCTTGTCTCGCTTTGTCTTTCAAATTTTCTTCCCAGAAACCAAAGTATTGTTTGCGCATACTCCAAATTAGACTTTCATTCATGTTATGCGATTTCACATTGTAGTTTCTTTTTTTTCCCTCCCTCCATTTAACATGCAGCACTGCAGCCTGGTTGAGTTAACAAAAAAAATAGGCTAATGAAATTTAAAACCTTTGTGAAAAAAATAAGACTTGGACAACATACATTAAGAGTTTTTGAGGCCTTAATTTGGGAACATGAAATTTAAGACCTTTTTAAGACCCCGCGGCTACCCTGTGTACATGCGTAATGTTTTGTTTTGTTTATGTTTTCAGATCACGACGCCCTGCACCAGTACCCACAGCAACACCCAGAATGGACTCCCCCATGCCAGTCATCCCCCACCAGAAGGTAAACAAAGCAATATGTGTCCAGCCTCACGTGATTGACAGCAAGAAATCCAAATTACCAATAAGTTTTGACCTCTACTATAAGAAATTATCACAACTACTACACACACACACACATTTTTTTTTTCTTTTTACCTGCTTTAATGTACTATTCACCCCCCTAAGGAGTGTTCAACAGGGAATTTAAACATCTCTCCATCTAAAAGAGAATCAGAGCCAGTATCTGCAGTGACACCTCCTGGCCAGCGGGGGGTGTACAATTCCCCGATCGGTCTTTACTCTCCTGAGACTCTGGCAGAGATGAAGCAGATGCAGGGCAGGGCGGGCGGAGTTGCAGCCGCTCTGTGGTACGTCATTTAAATTAGTTGATAACTCTTAACAACAACAACAACAACAACAAAAACCCTAAAGGAGAAGTAAGCGAAGTTTTAAAAGCATCAGTAAAATTTGTGGAGATTATGCTCGTACAATTTATTATTTCATTACAATATATTAGATCTGGTGATAGCGCAAAAATTATAATATTTTTCCTCTTATTAAGACATTTTTTAATGCTGCATAACTTTTTGGATGTGTCATGTCACCTCCATGATTCCATAAAAATAGAAAATGAAAACAATACTTCGGAACATTCTTTATGGAGATGTTTTCTGCCGTACAGAGTGATATTATTGCCAAAACATGGAGACAAAAAAGTGGAGGTCCTTCTCTAGGCCAAGTAAGAGTAAGGTTTGTGGAGATGCAAGCCCACTTAAAGTAAGGATGCGTGTTTTTCTATGATTTTCAGGGCAATAAAAACATCCAAAAAGTACTGTTTATTTTAGTCAATTTTTTGGCTAAAATGTTATTTTAGTACGACCTAGTGCCTCCACTCAATTTCATTTCTCTCTAGCAACTAGGTCAGGAATTGGAATACACTAGACGGTTTACAAGAACACCGGAATTTGTAGACCACGTACCGAGAATTGAAGAGCTGTGAAGTAATGACGTCAAACTCAAGTGCCTGTCTGTTTCCCTTTTGTGGGACAACATTAACAGTAAACAAAGCGGTCGAGATGGATGTAGACGAAGACAGACATTCTGTGTTGGCAACGATTCCGAAGATCGAGGATTTAAAGCCGAAACAAAGAGAATGTTTGGTGAATTTTGTCAAGGGGAAAGACGTTATTGCCCTTCTTTCTACAGGATTTGGCGCATTACATACGACAAATAGCAGCGATTGGTTAAATAAAAAGCGTCGTCAAGCGAACAAATCCTAATGCTGCGAGGTCAGACAGTTTCCACGAAGTGAAGGCTACATTCTACATAGTACAAAGGAAGAGTAAATATAGGGATGTAACAATAATTGAAATATTGTGATCAAATCATTGTCAAAAATCTCAAAATAATATCGTGGACCGTCACAATATATCAAATCACAAGTTCTGCTGCTTAAATGCATGGTTTTACAGTAGCAACAACTTATAAACATCGGGAACTACATATCCCATGATTCATTTCAGTGCAGAAAACATGAAGTTAAATGTTTTTTACTTTAATTCTTGGGATTATGACGGAAATAATTCACACCAAAATCTTGTCAAGGTATTTTAAAAGCAAAAAAAGTGTCCCATCTACAATTATATCAGCCTCTTGAAAATATCGCAATAAATATCATACATATGTTAAGCCCCCAAAATATAGTCTAAGTCTACGGTAAATATGATGACTGGCTGAAACGTCCTTACTTCTCCTTTAAATACACGATACACTTGGTTGAGTTTGGATTGCCTCACCCGCTCCTGTGTCCCCTCCACTTGATATTAACCACACTGTGATAAACATGGAACGTTCCGATGCCGTCCCTGGCGCGTGCGAGGCCACGTGGGGGTATTTGCGGGTACATGCCCTCACCCACACCCCCCGAATGCTGATCTGTGCAGGTAACGCAGCTAGATCAGATCTCTGTAACCGGAGTTTGATCACGTTTGAGTCCAAAGGGTGACGCTAAAGGTCGCTGATGTATTACAGCAGCATCTGAATGTGGCTTTAATCATCTGAGGCAGAGAGCGCACTCAGGCCGGTTTGGTCCTGGTTTTTCCTGTTCAAGTCCAGGTCTAGTGCTGGTCTAGGTAGAGGTGGAGTCCTGGTTTAGTGCTGGGCTAGTCCTTGGTTCAGTCCGGGTTCAGAAATGGGTTTAGTCCTGGTTTAGACCTGGTTTTGTCCTGGTTCAGTCCTGGGTTCAGTCCTGGGTTCAGTCCTGGTTCAGTCCTGGTTCAGTCCTTGGTTCAGTCCTTGGTTCAGTCCTTGTTCAGTCCTTGGTTCAGTCCTTGGTTCAGTCCTGGTTCAGTCCTTGGTTCAGTCCTTGGTTCAGTCCTTGGTTCAGTCCTTGGTTCAGAGATGGGTCTAGACCTGGTTTAGACTTAGTATAGTCCAGGTTCAGCGATGGGTATAGTTCTGGTTCAGTCCAAGGTTCAGTCCTGGTTTAGACCTGGTTTTAGACCTGGTATAGTCCTGGTTCAGAGATGAGTTTAGTCCTGGTTCAGAGATGGGTCAGTCCTGATTCAGTCCTGGTTCAGTCCTGGTTCGGTCCTTGGTTCGGTCCTTGGTTCGGTCCTTGGTTCCTTGGTTCGGTCCTTGGTTCGGTCCTTGGTTCGGACCTGGTTTAGACCTGGTATAGTCCTGGTTCAGAGATGGGTTTAGTCCAGGTTCGGTCCAGGTTCGGTCCAGGTTCGGTCCAGGTTCGGTCCAGGTTCGGTCCAGGTTCGGTCCAGGTTTGGTCCAGGTTCGGTCCTTGGTTCAGACATGGGTTTAGACCTGGTTTAGACCGGTTATAGTCCTCGTATAGTCTATGCTCAGATACAGGTTTAGTCCTGGGTTAGTCCCAATTTATACATGGTGAGTGCACAATTTGTGGAGTTGGTTTAATTTTTTTTTTAACTCTGTTTTCTTTTTTCACATTTCTATAAAATGTCATAACATTAAGTTTAAATGTTTTTATGTTAGTCAGTGTAAAATTATAAGGACAGAATTTGTAATTAGCTGCAACATAAGAAACTGAATAAATTACCGCAGAGTATGAAAACAACGTCCGATACATAAAACATAACTTTCTCAATGCAGAGGAGTGAGAACAGAACCACAAACTCTCTGGTGACTGGTCAAACTTGCTCATTATATAAGAATAAAAAAAAAAAAAAAAAACTCACTGAAAACAGATACTCTAATTATACGAACGCAGTGGGTCCCACATGTACAGTATGAAAACAATGAACAACAGATAAACAGAGGACACTTTATCTCTATGCAGATGAGTGAGAATAGAACCACAAACTCTCTGGTGGCTGGTAAAACGTGTTCAGTATTCGAGCGTAAGCCTGCAGTATGTGTATTACATGTGGGCGTGTGCGATGTGCTGCTCTGAAATAGTTGCCGAGGTTAATTGGGGCTGGTATCTAAAGCCCGTTTAACACTCAGATCTAGTATCAGTGCAATACCTCTACCCTCCTCCTGCTCCGTCGTACAGTTACGCACATGGTACAGTCAGGTGTCCCCAAAACGTGAGACCCCCCTACCCCCTATCACCCCCCCCTTACCCCCCTTTTACCCCCTCCGATGTCCTCCCACACCCTCCAGAGTAGAGATGAATAATAATCAATTCTGTAAATGTTTTTATTTTGTATTTATATTCTGTCAAAGTCTATGTTTTATTCTAACACTTTTATTTTTATGCAATTTATTTGATCACAATCTGCATTTCTAACCTTCTCCGCGATTTCGCCGAGCTCCAAGCTATTTGAACCTCAACGAAGACATTTACAGCCATGTTTTTGACGTATAACTAAAACAGAATACAAAAACAGATGTCAAGATCTAAAAGTTGTGTGAAAAATGATGAATTGTGAGTACATTTTTGGCGTTTTCTATTTATATTCTGTCAAAGTCTAACACTTTTTAAATTTTTATGTGATTTATTTGATCACAATCTGCATTTCTAACATCCTCCACGATATCGCCAAGCTCCGTTTCTAGTCGGTGACGTTTGTTTGCTGGTAAATAATGGAAATATAGCTTTTTCTCATTCTGATTTCAACCTCAAATTGAAACTGAAGCGAATACAAAACATCAAATGTATCATCTATAATAAGAAAAAGTAGTTTTATAATCACTTTTGTGCAATATTTGAACCTCAATGAAGACATTTACAGCCATTTTTTGGACAAATACCTAAAATAGAATACAAAAAGAGATGGAGAGATTTGTCAAAATGTAAAAGTTGTGTGAAACATGGTGAATTGTGAGTACATTATTGGCGTTTTATGTTTATATTCTGTCTAAGTCTATGTTTTATTCACTACTACAACACTTTTTTATTTTTATGCAATTTATTTGATCACAATCTGCATTTCTAACGATATCGCCAAGCTCTGTTCCTAGTTGGTGATGTTTGTTCGCTGGTTCGTTCTGATTTCAACCTCAAATTGAAAATGAAGTGAAAAGAAAACATCAAATGTATCATCTATAAAAAGAAAAATATTAGAAAGTGAAGCACGTAGTTTTATAATCACAATATTTGAGCCTCAAGGAGGACATTTATAGCCATGTTTTTGATGTATAACAAACAGAATACAAAAAGAGATTTGTCAAAATATAAAAATTGTGTGAAAAATTGTGAATTGTGGGTACATTTCGCCACTAATCCAACTCATAATTAACACTTTTTGTTATAGACCCTACCTAGACAACTACTACGACTACACGGACATTAAATTGTGTTATTGATACAGATTTTTGTCAATATAAAACAACTTTAAAAGCAAAAACTGCGAATCCAAAGTTGATTCATTGCACACGCACAGAGCCCCGTGAGCCCACCTTAGCCCACCTCACGCTGGGGACACAGCTGCTGCTCTCTGCTCTAGTTACACTCCCCCTCCTCCTCCTCTTCCCCTCCTCCCGTCTCATCCCAAACCGGACCGGGACCTCTCGTCTCTTGGCCGCCCCGTGTGGATCGCGCTCGGCACGTTTCACTCTCCTCACCTTTTACCTTTACGGCTGCCATCGGGGAAATATAAATAAACCGTTCACAGAGATCACAATATGGACGCTATGAAATTACATAACTGCGGACAACATGACACCACCAAAAGAGGTCCACGTTTTGATCCCTCCTGTTAATGGGCAAGACACTTTACCCACCCGGCCCATGGATTACATAGAAAACATCTAATATTCCAGTCAGATTGTGTGGATTTAAGTGTTTTTATTAACTTTTTTGTACATTTCTATCATCATGTTGTTCTTGAACTCATGTTGCAACACTGGAATTTCCAAATTATGGGACAAATAACATTTTTCTTATCTTAATAATTGGAATTTACGGGAAAACTTAAGTGAATTGTTGTATAGAGTGTATGAATAATGAACATATTGTAGAAATCAGAGCACTACTCTGTCTTTTAACTTCCAAATTTTGATTTTTATGTTTAAATTAGTCGATTAAATATCAAAAATATTCTTATAACCTTTACAGGAAAACTGGAACTTTCCCAAAACCCACAAACCTTTCACTCCTCCTTCTCAAATAGCGTTTTTCTTAACTTAATAATTGGAATTTATCGAAAACTTAAGTGTATTCTTTTGTGGAGTGAATAAATAATGAATATATGGAAGAAATAAAAGCATTACTCTATCTTTTAATTTCCAAATTTCGATTTTTAGTCGATTAAATATCAAAAATATTCTTATAACCTTTACAGGAAAACTGGAAGTTGCTCAAAATCCAAAATCTCTCTTCTCAAATGTAGTTTTATCTTTTAATACTCTTGTCACTACAGTAATATAACATCTTTTACAGTACTTTTTTGAGCTGTTCTATCACTTTTTGTATTTTAAATCGCTGTACAGTGACCTTGAGTGAAACTTAAGACGCCTCAAACAAACTGTACTATTACCGTCATATGTAAACAACGCACATTTTAATGCGATGATGCCAGTTTACTGTACAACGTTCATGCCGTCATTTTAAAGTCGTCTCTGTGAATGTCTGGAAGGGCATCAGGTGATCCGTGTGGCTAAAAGTGTCCCAGGTCACATGATCACCTCTGCTCCTGTCACTCACCCCCTCTACACTAAACTAATGAGACTGTAGAGATAAAAAATAAATACACGACTACGGCTGTGAGATTTTCAATTTGAATGGACGCAAAAGCTGCAGATTTTTAAGTACTATAATTTCCTCCACAAACACCAAAATATTCAGTCTTATTCTGTGTAAAAAATCTGTACAGACATGTTTTGAAATGTGATTCTTGTATTGGTTTGTCCATTCGGCAAAAATTATCAAAAATATCTGATTGCAACTTTTCGGATGAGCATTGCAATTGATTTATTTACATCGTGATACTAAGATTCTATTCAAATTTCATATTTTAAAACACGTCCAGAAGAACTGACATTAAAGAATGCAAGAACATGTTTTTACAGATTTCTAAATTACAGGGTTAGCTGATTTTTTCATGCAAGATAAGACAGGAGATTTTTGTTATTTATTGAGGAAAATTACAGTACTTCAAAAACTGCATTAACCAGCTGTTTTTAAACTGTGAACTTTTTGGACACAGTAGTATAAAAAAAGAGTAAAAAAAGTAGCAATAAAGATGGAAAGAGACAGGTGTCAATAAGGCATAAATATATAAATTTATATGTTCAAGTCAAAATAAAATAGAAAATAAGTAATAAAAATATCTCAGCTATATTAAAAAAAAAACAAGGATATGATGATTGGCCAGTGTTATTTAATAGAGCTAAGGAGCTGCTAAAAATAACTTTCATTAAAATGCTGATTTTTTTGAGATCTCAGGTCCAGTCAAAAACAGAAATTATCGAGTTCAACATTTTTGCATTAACCTTTTGGATATTTCATGGTAAAGTACAATGTAATCTATAAGGAAAACTGGCTCTTGCCCTTTTCCCACCTTGGAGAATGACATCATCTAAATCTGAAAACTACCAATTAAAACTAAACTAAAAAATAAATTGTTAACCTTATTTCAATGCTTGCAGGGGTGTCAAACGCACATTCACAGAGGCCAAAATTAAAAACTGGGACTAAGTCGTGGGCCAAACTAAATATTTATTGAAAAATTTCAACATCATCTGCATGTTTTCTCATCTTTTGAGATATGTAATGTTCAACTTTTTCTTATTAAAATAAATGTTTAATAATAGTTTTGCTTAAACACTGAATCCAGAACAAGCAAAATAAATAAATAATGTATCCATAGTCGATGTGTAGTTGACGGGCAGCTCTAATACATACTTGATATGATCTCGTGGGCAAATATAATTATATCGCGGGTAAAATTTGGTCCCCGGGCCCGAGTTTGACATGTCTACTGTAGAGGAAATTATGGTTTTCAAAAATTGTGATTTCGATTCAATTGCGATTAACCACTGGCTTTTAACGACTCTACATTACAGGTCAGATCTGTGGAGAGTCGCTCCTATTCATAAGCGAACGTACATGAACATTCACACGGACGGACACAAAATCGCAAATCGAATCGCAATACTTTGATATTTTTCCAAACAGTTTAGCCTTTCTGTCGACCTAAAAAATACCAGGATGACGACAAACTGAAGCCCTGCCTGTACGAAGGATTAACGCCGCATTGTAGTTGGATACTTTCCTACAAACACTCCCATTGTTGTGTTCAAAATACCGGGGATATTTAGAGCGTGTGTCTGTCTTCTGGTGTGTTACAGGTCATCGCAAACACAGCCGCAAAGTCAGTACCCACAATGCATCTGTGCTTGATCTGCATGAGCCTGCGGTGGACTCTAGACAGTGCTATTCCTGGGTGGTGTGTCGATGGGGCTATTTATAAAGTTTGTGAATGGGATGTTTCCATATTGTTTCAAAGGAACAATGCGTATGCTATTTTAATTCATCTTCTATAACCTTATCTGTCACAAACAAGTATTTAAAATGTTTGAGTGAGCTTATAGGGCGTATATTACTCTATTTTCTGTTTTAATATCGTTTCCTCATCAAAAAGCATGTCCAAAGTTGTGTTTTGTTTCATTCACACATAGGGAAGTAACAATAATCGAAATATCGTGATATCGTATCGTCTAAGTTCTCACAATAACATCGTGGACCATCACAATATATCGAATTACAAGTCTCTTTGCTTAAATTAAAGGTTGTATAGAGGATTTTTTTAAGGGAAGAGAAATACAGCGACAGTCCTTGTGCGCGTTCAGAATTACTGTTGAAGTTTCCTGTCTAGAAGTAATTCAGCGACTGACGCGTCAGTTTTTAGACCCTTCGTCTGCTTCGGTCGCGCCATCGCTGGACGAGATCTCCAAGAATCACCTCAGTTTGGCTTTGCTCCTTTTCCTCTTCTCTTCTTCTTTCAGCGACCTCAAAAACGGACTTTCTTTTGAGGCGAACCGGTCGTGGATTCTCGTCCGCCGTCGCGACAAACTTTGTGCGAAATGCGAGGAAGCGACAGTTCGAAAAAGCCTCCAAGAACCGCTGCGTAAACCACGTAATCCCCGCGCTCCGACGAATCAGTTATACTAGGGAGTTTGATTGACAACCCAACAGCCAATAGAAAATTAGGGAGCCTCATTTTCTATTGGCTGATGTTTATCTGGCCTCAACACGTCCACAGTTGATAGATTTTCGTTCTTTTTTTTTTGGTCATCATAATTACAAAGCTGCTGCGTCTCTGTAATGGTATTTTAATCTTTCACTGACAGTTTGAAACAAAAAAAAATCCTCCATACAACCTTTAAGAGTTATGGTGCAGCAATAGCTAAAAAAAAGACAGAGGGAACTACGTAGACCATAATCCTTTGCTCCATTTCAGTGCAGACTACAAGAAGAAATAACAGTTCTAAACACTTTTAAGTCTTAGTTTTTTGGATTAAGTCTCGTCAAGGCATTTTAAGAGGAAAAAGCACATTTAATTCTGTTTGCCTCCACAAAATATTGCAATAAATATCGTACCGAGAGATGTATATCATGAAAACATCGTACCGAGACATTTGAATATTGCTAAATCCCTAATCGTGAGCCTCCCCACCATATCGTGAGCTTTCCCACGATATCGCAATAAACATCGTACTGTGAGGTTCATACCGTGACGATATCGTATCGTGAGGCTTGGATATCGTTACACCCCTATTCGCACAGGTTTAACGCGCAAATCCAACATATTTAAGCTGAGTTCTTCTCTCAAACTGAAAACCCTCTGTTCCACCTTGTGACGTCATGTGGTAATACATGTTTTTAAACTCTATACACCTTCACAAGAATCATTCGGATGATTTCAGACCTGGTAAAAAGAGCTATTAACTAGAAAACTACAGCTACATGACATCACAAAGTGGAACAGAGCATTTTGACCTTTGGAGATGTAGACAGACTAATAAATAAAGAGTTACTCAAACATGTGTGAATGAAACAAAACACAACTCCAGGTATATTTTTGACGAGGTAACGACATTATAACCTGACCTAAAGCTCACAAGAGTCAATTCTGTGTAATATCGCACCTTTAAAATTGGTAAATAATTCTACACAAGCCTTTAAAGGTGCCTGGTACCCGTCTTAAAATGTGAAAAAACAGAACTAGTCCATTTTAAACAGTTTGCAGTGATCCAAAGTTCGTCCTCACTTACTCAAAGAATCCTATTTATTTACCGTGATAAGTTAAGCTTTCACAGTCCAGTGAGGAATTTTACCGTGAAAGTAGAAAAGCTAACAACAACCAGCATGTCAACGTGCACTTTCTGATAATCGAACAATAAAACAATTTATAATTAGACGCAGATAGGACGCAGACTTATTTTAACCTCAAAAACTGCGTAAACAATCCTCAAATACATGGGAAAATTGGATAAAGTCCCATTAACTGAACAACAGAATTACTAACATTGAAAAGTTATTGATGGTGAATGAAAATGTGTGGTTTGTGTTTAGTTTTTCATTCATGCTTCTCTTCAAAAACATGAATGAATGAATGAATGAACCATGCATGAGGGACTGCTATTGTTTTACTTGTGTCTTATTTTAGACGTGGGATGCTGTGGTTGAATTGGAAGTGTGGTTTTGGGTGATTATTTTTAGTATTTGCTTGGTTCAATAGCAGTGCATGTTTTTTTTTTTTTTTTGGTTTTGTTTTCTGGTCTGTAGTGACTTGCCTGAAGTTGTAACATGTTAAATTTAACTATTTTCAGACTTTTTAAAGATATTTACTGTTCAATATTTGACATTATAGAGTCAGAGTGATGAAAAGTTGATGTTGTAATTACATTTTCAGTGTTTTTAAGAGACGATGGCAGCTTCTCTTAGTCTAATTTTTTACCCCATAGTGTAAAAACTGATCTGAAACCTTTTTTTTACCTTCACAATCTAGAGGAAATCTGTCCGTGCCTGTATAATCTGTCTAATCTTCCACTTTTTTTTACCTTCACAACCTCTTTCCTTCTACTCAAAATCTTCACTCCTCTTTGCCGCACCTGCACCTGCACCTGCACCTGCCCCACACCGCCCCCTGCCTGTCACAGTGTGGAGTACACCCCCAGCTTCAACCCCATCGCCCTGAAAGACTCCGCCCTGTCCACTCACAAGCCCATCGAGGTGAGGGGTCCCGGGGGTAAAGCCACCATCGTCCACGCCCAGTACAACACCCCCATCAGCATGTACTCACAAGACGCCATCATGGACGCCATCGCCGGACAGTCACAGGCCAAAGGTCACGAGAAGTGAGTAAAACAGGGGCTGGTCGGTCTGTAGGGACAAAACGTGGACAATATTTGAGGCAGTTCATAGGCGTAGATCAGTGGGTTTCAACAGGATTTTAGGAGTAACAGACAATGGCAAACTATAACACTCTTTCTCGAGAAGTGAGTGCCATGTTTGAGGCAATTCATAGACGCAATTCAATGGATTTTTCAGAAATGAACAAGCAGGAGTTTAGGCATAACAAGCAACGACAATTTATACTCTTCTGTCTATAGAATAGGTTCTCACAATGGCATCACAAAACAAAATAATGTGACTTAAACAGAATAAGCACAGACAAAGAAGTAAAGCAGGTAGCAATCAAAGTGCAATTAGAAAGTTAAAAAGTCTACCAACGTTTTCTACTCTGATGACCAAAAATGAAAGTTTTATACACAAAAACTGTAATTGGACAAGCATAAAGCATAACTCAGAAAATCCAAACCAAAAAGGAAATAATTATAATAATTTTAGACAAAACTACTCCCCTTATTGGTCTGGAAAACGTACAGCAGTCATAAGTAAGTGAATAAGACTTTTGTTTTGTCAATAAGAAGCATTTTGATTTGATAAATGGCCATAGTCTTACTAAGAAAGATTTAGTTATTCTCAGATTCAAGTTAAGTATTAAAAACGTTAGAGTTTGTCAAATTGTTCCCATCAATAACAATGTTTAAAACAGAATAGACCTAAAGCATTCATGTTGCTGGCTATAAAAAAACAAAAGTATGTCCCACTTAAAACGCATAGAAACTAGGGATGTAACAATAACCGAGATATCGTGATATTGTATCGTCAAAAGTCTCACAATAATATCGTGCGCTGTCACAATATACCGAATTACAAGTTCCTTTGCTTGACCCTGCATTCGATTATCCTTATCCTTCCGCCACCTTTCCTGGGATGGTGTTACTCGGACCTTGGTGGCAGAAATAGTAGAACGAGGATTGATTCGGAGTCCCTGTGACGTGTAAATATAAAGTGTTTTCATTGTGTTTGGACACTTTGGTGGTTTAAACGATAATTTCGTCACTCGTATCACTGCAGTACTTTACCGTGTCCGTATCACTGCCTGTGGGTTTGGTAGTCGGTGTTGTGGTGAAGCCAATATTGAACAAATATTTGATTTAACGGGTGGTAACGGAAGAGAAATCATAACATAAAATGAAGTGCAAAAATCTAATTAATTAAAGTGGCAGTGTAAGATGAGGGAACAGTCGTAATCATTATCTGTGTAGTCCAACACACAAAACATAAAAATACGCTTCAAGCTCAGATGTGATGTCAAATCCGAGGTCCAAGTGGGAGTCGGAAGATAATCAAACGCAGGGTAAATGCATCTTTTTATAGTAGCAACAGGTTATAAACATCAGGAACTACATATCCCATGATTCATTTCAGTGCAAACAACATGAAGAAATATGTTTTTTACTTGAATTCTTGGGATTATGACGGAAATAATTCACACCAAAATCTTGTCAAGGTATTTTAAAGGCAAAAAAGTGTCTTATCTACAATTATATCAGCCTCTCCAAAATATCGTGATAATATCGTACCGAGAGATTTGGATATCGTTACATCCCTAATGGAAACCAATGTAAACAGCAATCAGCATGTTATAAAGATCAACAGTTCCACATCCCAATAAACCAGGAAACTTCAGACTATTTTGTATCCATGGGTTTCAGAATGATAAAAAAAAAAAAACAAACAGGAAGGTTACCCAAGCGATAAATCCGCTCCGGGCTTTTCCTTGTCGTCTTTGTCTGTGCCTCTGTTTGTCCCTTTCACCCACTCTCCCTTTGCTCATCTCATCCACAACCAACCTCCACAACCACCCCACCTCTGCCGCCCCACCTACCCCACCCAACCTCTCCCCTCCCGGGCATGACCGCAGCGAGGAACCAGCTGGCTCTCCCTTGGCGTAAGTACCAGCTCCACCTCCGTGCCCTCCGTCTACTTTCCTCTCCTCCGACATCCGCCCATCATGTCTTCATTTTCCTAACAGCTTGTGCATTGCCACATGTCTCTCCTACTAATCCAAAATGGGAAAATAAAAGTCTAATGTCTGTATTTTTTTTTGTTAATGTTGTTTTTGGGGAGATTTGTGTACAAACGCAGTAACCAGGAAGCAGGTTGTGCGTTTAAAAAGTACTTTTGAGTGTGAAAATGTTGTGTACGGTGATATTGCGGTTTGGACGTCATCGGGACAAGCATGGGAATGTTCTTGGTGATTACAGTAATTATGATTTATATCTAAAAAGTAACTGAAATACACCTTGACTTTGCTAACGTTCACTGAAAAATATTAAAAACACAACACAAAAGTACTACAATGTAAGATCCAAAGACAGTAGAAAGGACGGACCAAGACACAAGAGCTCATTTGATAAGCTCTTAAACAAATATTGTTAAATTTTCACTAGTCAAAATGTTATTTTTATTAACCGTACACCAATTTTTACTATAGGTGGCATTTATGTAATATTTTAAAGTGCATTATGTAACTTTTCTGGTTCAGGCTCTGTGATCTGCTTGACTCAAGGGAGATGTTATTGCTTTGCCTGGGATATTCCACAGTATGGCATTAAAATGATCTATGTTGTATTTAAGCAGAAAGTTTAAAATGCTCTAAAGTACCTTTGAAAACTTGCATTTCTACTGCAGGTGTGGTCTCCTCTCCATAGATCTGACCGGTGACTTGGCCATATAAGTTTAATGCTGTACTGTGAAACATTCTAGGAAAAGAAATACCAGAAAAGTTACATGCATATTTAACACATCACACAAAAATACATTATCAAATCAGTTCGTGCCGTATTTTTTGGACTATAAGTCACTCTCGAGTATAAGTCGCACCACCCAAAAAATGCATAATGAACAAGAAAAAAACATATACAAGTCACAACAGACTATAAGTCGCACTTTTTAGGGTGAATTTATTCTATAAAATCAGAGACCAGAAACTAACATTTCAACTTGAAAGTGAAGTTATAGTAATAAAAATAGAAGAGAGAACAACAGACTGTTAACGTCACATATGAACAGTTCTTCAGATAAACTATAACATAAACAACAGAACAGAACAAGTTTAACAAACTCTCCATCTCACTCCAAATCACTAAATCCATTCAATTCTTCATCCTCGGTGTCACTTCTGAGCAACTCCCAGACCTCCGGAGGTAAAAGGAGCACTGTTTCCTCTTCTGTGTAGTTGTCGTCAGACTCAGCATCAGTTCCAGCTAGAATTATTTTGGCCTTTCTGAATCCCAACAGGATGGTTTTGGTGTCACTGAAGTCCAGGCTTTGTCTATCCATCCAGTGACTTCCAGGAAAGTTGGTGTCACAAGTTTCTCTGTCATTCCAAACTTTCTTTCTGCTGCTCGATTACTGTTTTCGGCTGAATATTTCACTATTTGCAGCTTGTAATCTGCAAAATGTGATTTTCGTTTTAGGGGCATTTGTGTTCAGTCTTCTCAGTCGTCTTTAGAAATTTGTTTAAATTTAAAATTTTCAGTGGTACAGAAGTAATGGTGCGATTGACTGACATGATACAGACAGGACAGAGGCTCATGCACAGTAGAGTGAAGTGACAGTGGTACAGGAGTAATAGGAGCAGCAGATACTGACACACAAGACTAGAGCGCCCAAACCATGAAAAAAAGTGCGACTTATAGTCCGAAAAATACGGTAATATACAAACCTACCACAAACCTATATTGCAGTCCATTATTTTCTACTGTCTACAGTAATACCTATGGTAAAGTTCTAATCAACAGAGCTACATCTGAATTAAAAACTTAACATTTTATAAAACACAAAACTGACCATAGTGCAATGATTGTCCATCTTTGGTACAAGTATATAGATTATAGTATATCTTACAGTATAATAGCCTTAGTTATTTGTTTATTTAGCTGTGGTCTATGTTTATCCTTAATGGTGCACTGTGTAACTTTAGTCCGTCATCTGCTTGTTTCTATGGAAATTGCTTTGCCTGGAATGTCGACATTGAACTGAATCTGTCTCGTCTCGAATCAATTACAGGTCATTTGATTGCTTAAAAATACCTTGAAACACATTTGCTTTTCCACAGATCTGACCTGTAACTTGGCCTGCTGGTGTCACCTGCTTGTCTCCATGGAGATACAGAAGTTCAGTGTCATACTGTAGAGCCTTGGCATCTCCATGGAGACAAGCAGACACCAGGAAAGTCACGTGGTGCATCTTTATGAATCATGTGTCTCCGTGTACAAAGCTGTGTAACTTTTTTGGTGGAAGGTCCGCAATCTGTTCGTCTCCATGGAGATAGAGGAGTTTAATGCCATACTGTGGAGCAGGGGTCCCCAACCCCCGGGCCACGGACCGGTACTGGGCCATTGGTCATTTGGTACTGGGCCTGCAAAAGCGCGAACCCCCCCTCCCATACGCGACGTGGACCATGCCTCCTTCTGTACGTCGCCCCACTAAACCAGAACTAAAACAAGGTCTAAACCAGGACTAAACCAAGACTAAACCCGGACTAAATCAGGTCTAAACCAGGACTAAATCAGGACTAAACCAGGACTAAACCAGGACTAAATCAGGACTAAATCAGGACTAAACCAGGGCTAAACCCGGACTAAATCAGGTCTAAATCAGGACTAAATCAGGACTAAATCAGGACTAAACCAGGGCTAAACCAGGTCTAAACCAGAGCTGAATCAGGTCTAAATCAGGACTAAATCAGGACTAAACCAGGTCTAAACCAGGACTAAACCAGGACTAAACCAGGACTAAACCAGGACTAAATCAGGACTAAATCAGGACTAAACCAGGTCTAAATTAGAACTAAACTAGGTCTAAACTAGAACTAAACTAGGTCTAAACCAGGCGTAAACTAGGTCTAAACCAGGTCTAAAACCGGGTCTAAAACGAGTCTAAAGCCAGGACTAAACCAGATCTAAATCAGGTCTAAATCAGATCTGAATCAGATCTGAACCAGGTCTAAACCAGGTCTAAACCAGGTCTAAACCAGGTCTAAACCAGGTCTAAACCAGGTCTAAACCAGGTCTAAACCAGGTCTAAACCAGAACTAAACCAGGAACTAAACCAGGGCTAAACCAGGGATAAACCAGAACTAAACCAGGGCTAAACCAGGGCTAAACCGGAACTAAACCAGGTCTAAATCCAAGGCTACAACAGGTCTTAAACTAGAACTAAATCAGGTCTAAAACCAGGACTAAACTAGGCCTAAAACTGTTCTAAAACCAGGACTAAACCAGGACAAAAACCCAATCAGGTCTGCAAAATATTGCTGGATATAAAACGGGTCCGTGGCACTAAAAATGTTGGGGCCCACTGCTGTAGAGCACTGACATCTCCATGGAGCCAAACAGACACCAGAAAAGTTACACGGTGCACCTTTAAGAATGATTTGTCTCCATGTACAAAGATGGTCTAATACTTGCGCTAGGATCAGTAAAGTTACGTTTAAGTCCACATTTCTAACGCTGTGTCTTACCTCCATGCTCTCAGTGCGCTGCCCATTAAAGACCCTGTGGTAGACTGTGCCTCGCCCGTGTACCAGGCCGTGATCAGACCATCCGAAACCCCCCAGGACATGAGCGAATGGGCCCGCAGAGCAGCCAACCTCCAGAGCAAGAGCTTCAGGATCCTGGCACACATCACCGGCACCGAATACCGTAAGAAAATGCACAGTGTAGTCAGTTTGTTGTTAAAAATCCATAGTTAAAGGGTTTGTATGATGACCATTTTAACTGGGTAAACTGGCAGCATTGTGGTCCTGGCTCCAGCTGCTGTACTATGTGACATCACTCAAGACTGCCTTTATTACAGCCAGCCAAGCAAAATGGACTTTTAAAAGAGTTACTTAAATGTACGGTACTGTATTCTTTGATGAAGTTAACCAGGAGATGGATGTCAGTGGGCGTAATGAACTATGAACTGGTATAAAGTTTTGTGTGTTTTTTTTTTTTTTTTTTCTGTGATAGTAGATTTTTTAATTTATTCTTTCATTTGTACAGTGCAAGATCCAGATGAGGAGGCTCTGCAGAGGTCGAGGTAAGACTTCTATTTTCAGGCCCAATTATTCGCACCATTTATTTATCTGAAAAGAGCAGAATGTTCAGTTTTATTTAGCTTCAGCGACCACGCACAGGAACAAAACACACAAGAACACAACAACACTGTGCTGAGCCTCCAGCAAGAATACAAAGAGGACAGTTTTTCACTGAGTTTGTTTGTTTTTAACTAATACGTTAAACATGAACTATGGAACTTTCCTTGTTGAGGTTCTGCCACCTTTTTGCATCCATAGAGATTACATTGCTTTGTCAAGAATGTTCCACTGTAGGGCATTATTTATTATTTATTCATCTCTATGGAGACAAGTACGTGATGACACCAGGTCGTGTTGCAAGACGCCTGTAAAATAAAAAGCAAAAAAAGCAACGATAAGATAAAGCTTTACTGTGGAACATTTCAACCAGAGCAACTGCATTTCCATGGAGACAAGCAGGTGGCGGATCCTCCTCCAGCAAAGTTACACAGTGAACTTTAAAATCAGCTTTATACAATTTCACTCAAGAAAATTCAAACAAATGCAGTTTTTAGAAGTAGTAGTAGCAGTTGCAGCACTAGTAGTAGCAGTAGTAGTAGCAGTAGAAGTAGCAGTAGTAACAGTAGTAGCAGTTGCAGTACTAGCAGTAGTAGTAGTAGTAGCAGTAGCAGTAGTAGTAGTAGTAGTAGTAGTAGTAGTAGTAGTAGTAGTAGTAGTAGTAGTAGTAGTAGTAGTAGTAGCGTAGCAGTAGCTAGCAGTAGTAGTAGTAGTAGTAGTAGTAGTAGTAGCAGTAGTAGTAGCAGTAGTAGTAGTAGTAGTAGTAGTAGTAGTAGTAGTAGCAGTAGTAGTAGTAGTAGTAGCTAGCAGCAGTAGTAGTTGCAGTACTAGTTAGCAGTTAGTAGCAGCAGCAGCAGCAGTAGTAGCATTAGTAGCAGTTGCAGTAGTAGTAGTAGTAGTAGCAGTAGTAGCAGTTGAAGTACAAGTAGCAGTTGCAGTAGTAGCAGTAGTAGCAGTAGCAGCAGTAGCAGTAGTAGTAGCAGTAGTAGTAGAAGAAGCAGTAGTAGCAGTAACAGCAGCAGTAGTAGTAGTAGTGGTAGTAGAAGAAGCAGCAGTAGTAATAGCAGCAGTAATAGCAGTTGAAGTACTCGTAGCAGTTGCAGTAATAGCAGTACTAGCAGTAGTAGCAGTAGTAGCAGTAGCGGTAGTAGGAGGAGGAGTAATAGTAGTAGTAGCAGTTGTAGCAGGAGCAGTAGTAGCAGCAGTAGTAGTAGTAGTAGTAGCAGTAGTAGCTCAACTGTACAATACCAACACATTCCGGATGTGTTTTTTCAGAGAGAAGTTCGAGTCTGAGGTGAAGGGGCCACGCTTTGCCAAACTGAAGAACTGGCACCAAGGTCTGTCATCACAGATCCTCAACGTCCAGGAGTAGAACCAGCAACCGCCAACCACACCACAACACAACACACCAACACGAGTACACAAAACACACAGAAGAAGAAGGCGAGAAGACCGCCATGGACATAACGGTGGAGAATTATTTAAAAATGTTTAAATTATGGAGAAAAATGAGGAGGAAGGAGACTTGTGAATGTGACGTAGTTTAGCGTAGTAGGATGTAAGACTTTAACCGTTAGCGTGAGAATGCTAAGTGTAAGCTCCATATTTACTGTATTTGTCTGCTGCTAAGATCTGATTTTGCATTTGGGTTTTAATCTCTCTGTTTTTGTTTGTTTGTTAGTGTCCGTCTTTCTCGAATTGAAGAGAAATTGTACAAAAATAAGTGAAATAAAAGTGGCAATGAGCAGTTCTTTTATGCCCCCAGTAACAGTGTTATATTAGCCTACTCATGATGTAGACTGCTGGCATGCTTTAACAAGGCACAAAAGGATGAATATGTAAAAAATGCACTCAGAATGTACTAATATCAATGTGAATAAATGTAAATTATTAAAAACTAAAAAACTGCAAAGTGTGATTGTCTTTTATATGAAGTATTTCACTGGTATAGGCAAGTTTAAAACCAAATCAATCAAAGTAGGTGGACAATGTTTACAGTTGAAGTAAGCAGTAGTAGTAGTAGCGCAGTAGTAGTAGTAGTAGTAGTAGTAGCAGTAGTAGTAGTAGCAGTAGTAGTAGTAGTAGTAGTAGTAGAGTAGCAGTAGTAGTAGTAGTAGTAGTAGTAGTAGTAGTAGTAGTAGTAGTAGTAGTAGCAGTAGTAGTAGTAGTAGTAGTAGTAGTAGCAGTAGCAGTAGTAGTAGTAGTAGTAGTAGTAGTAGTAGTAGTAGTAGTAGTAGTAGTAGTAGTAGTAGTAGTAGTAGTAGTAGTAGTAGTAGTAGTAGTAGTAGTAGTAGTAGTAGTAGCAGTAGTAGTAGTAGTAGTAGTAGCAGTAGCAGTAGTAGCGTAGCTAGTAGTAGTAGTAGCAGTAGTAGTAGTAGTAGCAGTAGTAGTAGGAGTAGTAGGAGTAGTAGTAGTAGTAGTAGTAGTAGTAGTAGTAGTAGTAGTAGTAGTAGTAGTAGTAGTAGTAGCAGTAGCAGCAGTAGGAGTAGTAGGAGTAGTAGGAGCAGTAGTAGTAGCAGTAGTAGTAGTAGTAGTAGCAGTAGGAGTAGGAGTAGTAGTAGGAGCAGTAGTAGTAGTAGTAGCAGTAGTAGGAGTAGTAGTAGTAGTAGTAGGAGTAGTAGGAGTAGTAGTAGTAATAGTAGTATTAGTAGTAGTAGCAGTAGCAGCAGTAGTAGTAGGTAGTAGTAGCAGTAGTAGAGTAGTAGCAGTAGTAGTAGTAGTAGTAGTAGTAGTAGTAGTAGTAGTAGTAGTAGTAGCAGTAGTAGTAGTAGTAGTAGTAGCAGCAGCAATAGTAGGAGTAGTAGTAGCAATAGCTGTAGTAGTATGAGTAGTTCTAGTACTAATAGTAGCAGTAGTAGCTGTAGGAGCAGTAGTAGTAGTAGTAGGAGTGGTAGGAGTAGTAGCAGCAATAGTAGTATTAGTAGTAGTAGTAGTAGTAGCAGTAGTAGTCAGCAGTAGGAGTTGGAGTAGTAGGAGTAGTAATAGTTGTATTAGTAGTAGTAATAGTTGTATTAGTAGTAGTAGTAGTAGTAGTAGCAGTAGCAGTAGTAGTAGTAGGAGTAGTTCTAGTACTAATAGTAGCAGTAGTAGCTGTAGGAGCAGTAGTAGTAGTAGTAGTAGCACTAGTAGCGTGGTCACCTCTCCACAGACCTGACCTGTGATCTGACCTCGTAGCAGAACCTTCTATGAAATATTCGAGGCAAAACAATAACATACAGTATCCATGGAGACAAACAAGTGGTGTATCCTGCACTAGAAAAGTTACATAGTGCATCTTTAATAATAAAAAACTAAACTTTTTACTTGAGATTAAGATTTTTTTTTTTTGTCTTTATTATTCTACTGTAAAGATTTATAACTCCACTAGCATTAAAAGTCGTGTTGCAAATAGTGCACGCCTGCTAGCTTAGCATCCAGTGATAATATTTTGTGAAAATAATTTAATTTGAAAACTAAAAGAAAGATAAACCATGAATGTTGTTACAAACCTTAAAAGAAAGTCCAGTTTTGAGGATAACACAATTTTGAGAGAGATAATCAATAAAACGTTGGTCATTTTTGGTGAAAACGTGGCTTAAATTGGATGAGCACGTGAGTTTACCTGCGATGACAGAAGACACGCTCCTGGTCCAGTGGCGCTTTACTGCCCCCTGCTGGATTATATAAACTATTGCCACGTAACAGGACTGAGAATTTAGTATTTCTAGCTCCATTTTACAGTGAAAATCATTATCTGGCAACTCATATAACTGATATAGGAAGGAATGTAGAAATTATTACATATAAAAGTAAAAATAAATGGACTTGTATGGGTGGGGAAGTTGCATTAGGCCGATAGAACCAGCAGATGGCGTCAGTCAATTTTCTATAGATTTTATTCCTGGTACCTCAAGCATTGCTGCTACTTTTGCCTAAGTTCCTAATAGCTCCTAATTACAATGAACAGATCAATGACACAAAAAATAAAACATAAGAAATAGGACAGTTGTTTATATTTTATACATTTATATTAGTTTTATTTTATTTTATTTTATTATGATTTTATTTTATTTATTTATGATTTTTCCCCTTTGCCTTTATATTTACTTTATTTTTTTTTAAACTCTATGATCTATGGTCAGATTATGTTCAAATTAAGATAAAATAAAAGTCAGATTAAAATCTCAGATAGAGTAGTGCCTTCAGTTAGCATCACATACCCACAGAATATTGATCAGCTGCAAAGTACTACTACTACTACTACTACTACTACTACTACTGCTGCTGCTGCTGCTGCTGCTGCTGCTGCTATTAGTACTACTACTACTACTACTGCTGCTGCTACTAGTATTACTACTACTGCTACAACTACTACTACTGCTACTACTACTACTGCTACTACTACTACTACTACTACTACTGCTGCTGCTGCTGCTACTAGTATTACTACTACTGCTACAACTACTACTACTGCTACTACTACTACTACTACTACTACTACTGCTGCTGCTGCTGCTATTAGTACTACTACTACTACTGCTGCTGCTACTAGTATTACTACTACTGCTACAACTACTACTACTGCTACTACAACTACTACTACTGCTGCTGCTGCTACTGCTACTACTACTACTGCTACTACTACAACTACTACTGCTGCTACTACTACTATTACTACTACTACTACTACTACTGCTACTGCTGCTACTACTACTACTTCTGCTGCTACTGCTACTACTACTACTACTACTACTGCTGCTACTGCTAGTACTACCACTAATACTACTAGTATTTCCACTACTACAACTAGCACTACTACTACTGATAATACCACCACTTCTACTACTGCTACTGTTAGTACTACTACTACTACTACAATTACAAACACCTGCAACTATTACTAACACCACCACTACTACTATTACTACTATTACTGCTATTACTACTACTCTGTATTTACTTTTAACCACACTGAAGTCTTTAGGGCCCAAAGATTTTATCAATCAGCAATAACAAAATAAAAACACGTGTCTTTGTTTCTTTCATATTTAATTTGTTTTACTAATGCAACTTTAGTGTTCAAAAATCCTGACAGACATTTGAAGAATTTAACAAAAACATACGTCACACAATCATCTTAAAAACATTCGACCGAGATGTGTTCACCTGTAACACAACTTCCAAAACTTCATTCACAAAATTCACTCAAGAAACAGGATTAATGAGAAAATGAGAATCAATATGTGACTCAGTACTATCTGCTCTAGTATCTATTATCAAATTTTGCTTGTTTCCGTGGAGATGTTATTTATGGAAACAAGCTGGTGACGCTGCCAGGCCCAGTTACATATCAGATCTGCGGAGAGGCAAGCCCACTCCTACGTTTTTCAATGTATTGTTTTAACATCTGTAATTGAATAAGATGTTGTATGTTTCTCCAGTTACAAAAACATATTGAAACGTTGACAAAAGTTGAGAATCTCATTAATTAAAAGGAAATGGATTCAAAACTTGCAAAACTTGAAATACTGTAAATTATTCCAGTAATTTAAAAGGTCCTATATTACACAAAGTTGACTCTTGTGAGTTTTAGGACATGTTATAATGTTACCTCCTCAAAAACAGACCTGGAGTTGTGTTTTGTATCATTCACATTAGTCTGTCTACATCTCCAAAGCTTAAAATGCTCTGTTCCACCTTGTGATGTCATGCAGGGACAGTTTTCAGCCACGTTTTACTTTTTGACTTTTCACATTAAAACAAATCCGCATATCACCGTATCACCGTATCGGAAACAATCTGCGTCCAGACACGTCGTTTCTGTTCCGCAATCAACGCCTGCCCTGTCCACACAGTAACGCAAAACCGCCTGAAACGCTCATCCCGTGACAGGCTGGTGTCATGTTGTCACGATGTCCCAACGTCACGTGAGCGGTAAAAACAAGGAAGTCTGAAGTTGCAGCAGCTGATTTTGAGCCGAGGGAGATGGCAAGTGTTTTCGTGGACCAACAACTAGGTTCAGTACTTAGCGTAACACTGGATTTTAAGACGAGCATGGCGGCTCAGAGTGAGGACTGACTCGTTTCTGTGTCTGCAATCCTTCACTATCCACACAGCTTTGAGCATATTTATTTACATTTTACAGGAATTAAACTTAAAACCACATGGCTAAGTTGCATAAACTGAGCGTTAAAAAAACAGCTCACTATTGTGCACTGATGCGGTTCAGCTTCTGTCAGACTAAAGGACACGACTCAGTGGAATATGAGTGTTCTTTCTGTGACAGAGGGGTGTTCTGCTGATGGTGAGTCTGTTCTGTTCTTCTGTCGCGTTGGAGATGGTTCATGTTAAACTTTTCAGAGATTATGCGGTCTATGCGTACGATCATACGCATAGACCTTTTATATGAATGGACATATATTCTAGCTTCTTAGTGTTTTGGTGCTGAATTAGCTACTTCGTGGCTAATAGACCTACATCAGTGTATCAGCGTTTTCAGGCGTCCACACAGTGCCGGATCAGATCTGTACTCAGATGAATTTGTGGGAGCTGGCGGCACCAGATCGTTCCGTCTCTGGAGCTGTTTTCCATTGGATTAGTGTGAACAAACACTGCATCCACAATGAAAACGACTCGAATATGAACTAGTGTGGACAGGGCCTTTCTTTAGTAGAAATAAGCATTTCTAGGGCTGAAATTGTCTAAATGTGAGAAGGTGTATGGAGTTTAACAACACAGTGGAGCACTTCCTGTATTACCACATGACATCACAAGGTGGCACAGAACTCAGCTTAATTATACAGCGTTTGTGTTAAACATGTGTGAATGAAACAAAACAGAAAACTTCAGGTCTGTTTGTGACGAGGAAACAACATTATAACAGACCAGAAAAAAGTGAAATATGGGCCCTTTAAAATTGGAAAAGGCAACGAAAATTATTTAATATCTGTAAAATTTGACACACCAATAATTAGAAAATCAAAATCAACCTTTCAATTTGATCAAAACACAGCTGACCTTTTGAAACCAGTTTATTTCTTACCAGTGTTAAATCCCCAAAAATCCCTTTTGCTTTTCTGTAGTGTCAGATTTGATGGAAAAATCAGTGACATTTATGAATTTGACATATTAAAATGAATAAAAACACAAATTAAATCATAATAAAACACGTCATCTGATGGTGGTTCACATTTGAATTGCAGTCTCCTCTGTACCATTCGCAATCATTCAAAGTCTGAATTAACTTTGCTTTTATAACATATATTCCCTAATTAAAACATACTTTGAGTTGTGTTTTGTTTCATTCATTTGTACAGCCTCTTTTAAACTGCTTCGCTCTTTAGTGCAACAACAGAAGGGCCAGTTCTAGCGCCCTCTGCTGGCAAAAGTGTCATAAACGCTCAGAAATTAAAGTACATTAGGTTAAACTGTAAAATATCAAGACTAAAGCATTCATATATATAATTATTATCATTATTATATTATTATGTTTGCCCAGTTTCCAATATTGCTGAACTTTTACCTAAATTAGTCTTGTTATGATACTAAAATACCACGATGATAATAAAAAACACTCTTTCTTTAGACACTAGAATCGTGATTTTCAGTGTTAAATCGTAGTATTTTCTTTTATATTTCCATGTGGTTTTATATCTGTGTAATCCCTCAGTGGTCTACGGGTGTATACTAGTCTATGTGCTCTTATACTTGTTCTGATGCAGCTCAAAATCATTCTAAAATAATTCAGGAAACGTTCATTTCCGTCCTGCCAATTTGACTTTTTTAGTATCGATACCTGCTCAAATGAGGATCAAGTTTCGATATTAGTTTTCATATCGATTAGTGTCTGACTTTCTGTTTTCCTAACTTTTCTGATGAAGAATCCCTCACCTGCTTGTTTCCACTGAGATGTTTTCGGTTTGCCTGAAATGTTTCACAGTATGGCATTAAACCACCTCTAACATGGAAACAAACAGGTGACACCAGAGGCTACACAAGTTACAGGTCAGGTCTGTGGAGAGGTGACCCTACTCATAATAAGAATGCAGTATAAAAAAAAAACATGTACCGTATTTTTCGGACTATATGTCGCACTTTTTTTTTCATGTTTGGGTGTTTTCTGCGACTTATACTCTGGTGCGACTTATATCTTAAAATAAAATAAAAAACAGCCACGAGAGGTTCTAGTCTTGTGTGTCAGTATCTGCTGCTCCTGTTCCTCCTGTACCACTGTCACTTGGCTCTACTGCGCATGTCTCCTGCAGAAAGAGCGTCTGTCTTGTCTGTATCATGTCAGTCGATCGCACCGTTACTTCTGTACCACTGAAAATTTAACATTTAAGTGACTTCAGTGACACCGAAACCATCCTGTCGGGATTCAGAAAGGCCGGAATAATTCTAACTGGAACTGATGCTGAGTGTGAAGACAGCGGCGCTCTGTTTACCTCCGGAGGTTGCAGAGTTGTTCAGAAGTGACACCGAAGATGAAGAATTGAATGGATTTAGTGATTTGGAGTGAGATGGAGAGTTTGTTAAACTTGTTCTGTTCTGTTGTTTATGTTATAGTTTATCTGAAGAACTGTTCATATGTGACGTTAACAGTCTGTTGTTCTCTGTTCTATTGTTATAACTATAACTTGCGACCAAAAAAGTGCAACTTATACATGTTTTTTTTTTTCTTCATTATGTATTTTTTGGCTGGTGTGACTTATACTCCGGAGCGACTTATAGTACAGAAAATACGGTATTTGAAAATGACGCATGATCTATCAGTTTAATGCCATACTTTGGAACTTTGGATTCATTTCTGTGTTGTGAGTGTGACTTTTTTAGTATCGATACCTGCTCAAATGAGTATCTACTTTCGATAATAGTTTTCGTATCGATTAGTATCTGATTTTCGACGCTTTTGACAACCCTGACCTAATAATGTTTTGTATATTGAGTGTATGTTTACCAATCTCTGACTCCTAAACCGTTTGCGTTATAGTTATTCTAGTTTTAATAGCGTGTATGGATTATGTCTTCTAATACAAATGTACCAAAATGATAACATGAAATTATAAGTGGTATACATTGCACATTAAACTGAATTAAATTACATCTTTTGTTACAGACGTCTACAGGGATCCCTTCATAAAAACATTTAAAACACAATTTCACAGATTTTCTTGTACAAATTCTCATAAAAGTAAAAAAAAAAAAAAAAAAAAAAAGCATGAAACAATTCTAAAAAATTCTAATTAAAAACATAATCGTGATCATATCCGCTGCTACGTCGATCAAAGTGTCTGGCACAGTGCACTGCGTGGTAATAAATATTGGCGTTATAAATAAAGATACCTGAGCTCAGACTTTGTAGCACCGCTTAGAGACAAAATGAGCACCAAAAAGATGAACAGCGCCCCCTACAGTCTGAAAGAGGCCGGGAGTTAAGGTTTTTCAGGAGTTTTTAGTGCAAAAAGAGTCTTCATAAACCACATGTCCCTTTAGTCCAGTCCAGTTCGGGGCTCAGCTGTATTTGATGTTGATCAGACAAGGCTTTGGTAAAATGGGAGGGTGTTTCGGGCTCGACCTGCAAGAGAAAAAGAAAATGGTGAAGTTAATTAAGACCATGTTTTATTTGCTGCCACCAACACACACACACAAACACAAAAAAATTATATTGACTCTTATGATCTTTAAGACATGTTATAATGTTATTACCTCATCAAAAACAGACCTGGAGTTGTGTTTTGTTTCATTCACATGTTTGAGTAACCCTTTATTATTAGTCTGTGTACATCTCCAAATCTCAAAATGCTCTGTTCCACCTTGTGATGTCATGAAGCACTAATTTTTAACAGCTACCTTTTACCTTTAGTTCAGTAGAAATTTGCAATTCCAGAGCTGATCATCCAATCATGATCATCCAAATGATTCTACTAAAGGTGAACTCACTTTAAAAACACAGTAGAGCACTTCCTGTATTATCACATGACATCACAGGGTGTTTTCTATTTGAGAGAAGAACTAAATATCCACGTTTTTGTGTGTGAATGTGTAAATGAAACAAAACACAACTCCAGGTCTGTCTGTGATGAGGAAAACATTATAACATAGAACAGAAAATAGTGTAATGTACTGTATTATGTGTTCAAATTATCACATTTGTTTTGTATTATTATTTTACGTATATAATGTGGGGAATGGGCTTCTGGAAAATAAGTTATTAATTAAGTAAGCCTATTCTTACATATGGCAATGGCCAGTGATATTTAATCATATGGAAGGTTAAGTTTACTTCACTAATCATGATACATTGTACTGTATAAGTGCTTACTACTACGCACTTCTAACTCTATTTCTCATCCACTGCTTAAAATGTATGTAAAATATATTTTGTCTTAGAAAATGAATCAAAATTATTCCAAACTCTGATTGAAGAGGATTTATATATTCATTTTCAAGGCTGTTGAACATGTAATTTTTTATATCCATGGGAATACCGTATTTTTCAGACTATAAGGCGCAATATCAGAAATGTTGAATTCTCTCGTCTTTTTTCATACATAAGGTGCATTAAGCGAAACAAACAGACGACACTTCAGACTATAAATGTTGCTTGCTCTTTGTGCAGTGATGTCAGACTAAAAGACACGACTCCGCGAGGCTCCTGACTGCAGTAGCTGTAATGCTGTCACAATCCATCAGTCGTTGTGGCTTCGTAGTTTACCAAAGTCGTACTAAAACATTTTGACAGATTTTTGATTTTTGTACCACATAAAATCAGTTCGAGGTCAGTAAGCACAACCAGAATTAATACACAAGACACAGCGAATTATAAGGTGCAATGACGATTTTTGAGAAAATTTAAATATAGTCAGAAAAATATGGTAATTTAATATCATAAGAAAAATAAATGCCACATAGAAATTATTGACAATAGACTCCAGATTGATGCCTAATAATGAATCACCAATACATTGACTTACCTGTTTGAATGGGGAGTGGGTCGTAGAGGCCTGGGTGCGTCAGTTTTAACCCCAAACGCTGCGATGTGTCCTGGGACAGAGACGGAGGCTGGGGGGCCCTGCTTCACCGTGGGGGTCCGGACCATGCGAGCTCCTCTGGGGTCCGCAGGGAGGGGCTTCTGGGGGGGGCTGGGCTTCTCCAACTCCTGTGAACAAAAAAAACAACAAATCCGTTCATTAAAATCACTGTGAAATTTTGGTTAGAAACTCCAGACCCAAAGTTTCCAAAATGTCCCTGACTCTGGAGCTCATCAGGGGGGAGGATTTCATGAGTGTGTCCCCAGATTGGAGCTCTGGCTGTGGGGAAGAGTGAGTCGAAAAGTCCTGGAGCAACCAACCAGCTGTGAAAGAAAACACTGTCTGATACTGCAGTAAATACACAGCTGTACAGAGAGAATGCAGTAACAATATGATACCACCAGGAGGCAGTCTACACCTGTGTTTTAAAGCTTTTGAGTGTGAGAAGATTTTGATCATTATGTTCTAAATTCTCATCAAAGTTGGGTAATTCTGGGTAAAAATCCAATATATTACGATCAAAATAAACAATACACTGAGAATCAACCATCAATCAGTCACTGGAACTACTGACTTAAAACGTAAAGCTGCACTGTGTAACTTTTCTGCTGGAGGATCAGTCGTCTGCTTCAATCATGGAGATGTTATTGCTTTGCCAGGAATGTTCCACAGTATGGCATTACACTGATAGATCATGCTTCATTTTCAATTACAAGGAGTTTTCAATACCTGGAAAAACATGCTTTCTTATACGAGCGGGGTCGCCTCTCCACAGTTCTGACCTGTAACTTGGCCTACTGGTGTCATCTGCTTGTCTCCATGTAGATGGAGAAGTTTAAAGCCATACTGTGAAACATTTCAGGCAAAGCAAACAAATCTAAGCAGGTGCAGCTGAGATACTTCATCAGAAAAGTTACACAGCGCATGAAATCAAAGGAAAACAGGTACTTAGTTGTCAAAAGTATAAAAAAATCTGATACTTTTGATGCTAAAACTAGGATCAAAACTTGATCCTCATTTGAGCAGGTATCGATACTAAAAAAAGGCACATTCATTGGACAGAAATGAACCTTAATTAATTCATTAATTAATTATTTGAGAATGATCTTGCGCTGTATCCAAACAAGTATAAGAGCAGAGAGACTAGTATACGACCATGGACCACTGAGGGATTACACAGATATAAGACCACATGGGAATATAAAAGAAAATACTATGATTTAATATTGAAAATCGCATTCTATTTTTGAAGTAAAGAGTGTTTTGGGGTTTTTTTTGTCTGTAATGTTTCACAGTATGGCATTAAACCTTTCTATCTTCAAGGAGTCCAAACCAGACCAAGTTACAGGTCAGTTCTGTGGAGAGTAGGGGTGTAATGGTACATGTATCTGTGCCGAACCATTTCAGTATGGGACGTTTGGTTTGGTGCAGGACTGTGCATGAGTGAGTTTGTGCAATTTGTGTGTGTTTATATTCCACCACGACATGTGCAGATACAGTGAAGGCTCGGCTCTTTAATATTCACGAGGAAACTTGTTTGTGATTGAGGTCCATGTTTTCCGCAGCGCTTTATAGTTAGGGCAGCCGCCTGGACAACAATTGCCCCCGCCTTGACGATGTCCCTCTGAACCACATGAATCCTCACAAAACTACAGTCGTCGCGCAGTGGTCATTACTTTTGCCTGTCGCCAGCACGGAATTTCCTCTTCCGGACAAGTTTTTTTTTTTCTGGCCAAAAATATGAAGTTTGAGTAAAACTGTTAGTGCTGCACTTTACTTTTTGAAAAGTTTTGTTTACTGTTTACAAGGAATTAATTTTTTTATAATATTTCAAACATTTGTTGCTCATTTGAGAATATTTTAATTAACTCATTAGTATTACCAAGCAGCACTTTGCATTTATTTTATTTTCGCATTTGAATAATGTTAAAACAAATTGTTGGTTTATTAAACACATAAATAAAGAACATGCATTTTGTTCCCACACTGTACCGAAAATGAAACTGAACCGTGACCTCAAAACCATGGTACGTACCAAACCGTGATATCCGCTCAGTCAGAATGTCCATTTTTCTAGAGATTTTTGAGCTATAAAACCACCTGTAATTGAATAAATGTAAGTGTTTAATGTCACACTGTGGAACATTTGGGGCAGAGCAATGACATCTCAACAGGAACAAGCAGATGGACCCTCCACCAGAAAAGTTACACAGTGCACCTTTAAGTCTATTCCTTGAAATTATAACCAGTCAATGAGAAAATAGGTGATATGGTCCTAATAAAAATGTCTGACATATTTTGTTTACATTTCTGGATGAGTTCAGAGACATTGGTGCGGCCCTCTTCTCACATGTTTCGAGTCTGGGCTTGGGTCGTCCCTCAGGTCTCCTACCTTCTCCATCTGGTTTTTATTGACTTAAATGAACTCATCTCCAAGCCTCACACACCGAAAAGAGTCCACCCCTTTAAAAAGCTGTCCGTTTAATCCCGGCTTATTGAGTTCAGTGCGTTTGCTGTCACTGGAGTCATGTTATGGATCTCAGAGTTCAATATGTGAGAGAAAACAAATGACAAATGTTCTATCAATCACTGTCTGAAAGTATCTCAGTGTCAATGATAAAAGTTCTTGGAAACATCAAACAGAGACTGGCACTACAAATATGACATTGATATATGGCTCGTTTAAAGGTTTTATATTACGCAAAACTGACTCTTGTGAGATTTAAGTCATGTTATAATGTTGTTACCTCCTCAAAAACAGACCTGGAGTTGTGTTTTGTTTCATTCACACTTAATCCATGTATCATTTGTTCATTACATTTTCAGAATAAAACCAAAAATAAGAAAATGCAAAAAAAAAAAAATAAATAAAAAAAAAATAATAATAATAATAATATATTTTCTTAATTATTTTTCTCCAAAACCAAAATGAAAAAACAGATAACGATAAATTTTTTCAGTTTTCGATTTTGCATTTAAAAAAACGCATAATGCCCATTTTCGGTTTCTGTGACTTAAACTGTGATGCTGGACTGAACCAGGACTAAGTAAGTAAGTAAGATTTATTTATATAGTGCTTTTCACAGACATATGTCACAAAGACGCTTTAAAGAGCATTTATAGATTCATTATTCTTTTCTCTCCATACCTGGTGATGGTAAACTACTATTGTAGCCACAGCTGCCCTGGGACTGACTGACGGAAGTGTAGCTGCCATACTAATCGGCGCCATCTGTCCCTCCGACCACCACCATCACTCACACACACACCACTTTCATATCAGGCAATGTGGGTGAAGTGTCTTGCCAAAGGACACAACGACAATTTGTGAGACTGGCGCCCCCCTGTGGCACCTGATGTTCCCAGTGGTTTCCCATCCAAGTCCTGATCAGGCCCGGCCCTGCTGAGCTTCTGAGATCTGACGGGATCAGGCTTTGACAAACCGGTGTGGCCACTAAACCTAAAAGACTAAAGCAGGTCCGGGATCAGACCGGAACCAGACCAGGACTGAGACCAGGACTTAGACCGGGAACAGGACCAGAACTGAGGCCAGGACTGAGATCGGGACCAGACCAGGACTGAGACCAGGACTGAGACCGGGACTGAGATCAGGACCAGACCATAATTGAGACCGAGACCAGACCAGGACTGAGACTGGGACCAGACTAGGACTGGCACGGCAGTTTACTACTACTATTACCACTACAAATACAACTACCAGTACTACTACTATTACTACCACTACAACTACCAGTACTACTACTATTACTACCACTACAACTACCAGTACTACTACTATTACTACCACTACTGCTATTACCACTACAAATACAACTACCAGTACTACTACTATTACTACCACTACTACTATTACCACTACAAATACAACTACCAGTACTACTACTATTACTACCACTACTACTATTACCACTACAAATACAACTACCAGTAGTACTACTACTATTACTATCACCACTACTACCACTACTACAAATACAACTACCAGTACTACTACTATTACTACCACTACTACTACTACTACTACAAATACAACTACCAGTACTACTACTATTACTACCACTACTACTACTACTACTACAAATACAACTACCAGTACCACTACTATTACTACCACCACTACTACTACTACACAATACAACTACCAGTACTACTACTATTACTACCACTACTACTACTACTACTACAAATACAACTACCAGTACTACTACTATTACTACCACCACTACTACTACTACTACAAATACAACTACCAGTACTACTACTATTACTACCACTACTACTACTACAAATACAACTACCAGTATTACTACTATTACTACCACTACTACTACTACTACTACTACTACAAATACAACTACCAGTACCACTACTATTACTACCACCACTACTACTACTACTACAACAAATACAACTACCAGTACTACTACTATTACTACCACCATTACTACTACTACTACAAATACAACTACCAGTACTACTACTATTACTACCACCACTACTACTACTACAACAAATACAACTACCAATACTACTACTATTACTACCACTAGTACTACTACTACAAATACAACTCCCACTACTACTACTATTACTACCACTACTACTACTACTACAAATACAACTACCAGTATTACTACTATTACTACCACCATTACTACTACTACTACAAATACAACTACCAGTACCACTACTATTACTACCACCACTACTACTACTACAACAAATACAACTACCAGTACTACTACTATTACTACCACTACTACTACTACTACTACAAATACAACTACCAGAACTACTACTATTACTACTACTACAAATACAACTACCAGTACCACTACTATTACTACCACCACTACTACTACTACTACAACAAATACAACTACCAGCACCACTACTATTACTACCACTACTACTATTACTACTACAAATACAACTACCAGTACTACTACTATTACTACTACCACTACTACTATTACTACTACAAATACAACTACCAGTACTACTACTATTACTACCACTACTACTATTACTACTACTACAAATACAACTACCAGTACTACTACTATTACTACCGCTACTACTACCACTACTACAAATACAACTACCA